AAATAAATAGTGCAATAGGTAAACAGACCAACTAGTCATTGCAGTCCAGACATAGTGACATGACACACAAGGCCACAAACAATTTGTTTTAGACTAGCTAGCTAACTTCCTTTTCTATATTGCAAAAACAAGCTCATTAAATATTCTAGGACTAACTAAATATTGTATAGGTATCACAAATTTGCCTCATTTAAGTCTTATATTTATACCAGGAAGAGGAAACACATTGTATTGTATTCGCAAGGGTAGTCCCGAAGTATGTGTACCAGGTTTGGGTTAGGCCATAATTTGATCCCGATTTTCCTTATTTTAGTCATATTGCGAGTTCTGGGACTGTCTGTGTTAGCCAAGTGAATATCCTCCTGCCCATAGGCTTCAGTCCCTAATTTGATCCCGATTTTCCTTATTTTAGTCATATTGCGAGTTCTGGGAACTGTCTGTGTTAGCCAAGTGAATATCCCCCCTGCCCATCGGCTGCAGTCCCTTTACACAACTTGATGTAAAGTGGGCGAACAAAATTAGTACCTCCATATTGGTACACACACTTCCAAAGCTCTTTTGCAAGTTCAATCTCCAGGGAGCGTAATTAGTGACGTGTGTAACGTTTAGCAGACAACTGTTCTCGGTTGGTCTGTTTGGGTAGGACCTTAAAATCGTGAGGTTCGGTCAATGATCTGGCCCGAATCGCATGCAATTTGCATTTATGAGGTTTGAAAACCATGCAAAAAATTCTCTCCAATATATAATATTTAGTTAGATTGTATTAGGATATCAGGTTTATAAATAAGTATATATATCAATTAAAGTTTTACTTACTGGAATTGTAAAATCGGAAAGGACATGAATACGGGGTTGTTTATAAAGATAGAAGATGTCTCACGTGATTCGAAAACTAATAATAATGGTGCAATGGCAGTACGTAATACGTTGTTGATACGTCAACCGTCTATTGTGCGTTCATAAATCGAGCCATAACCAATGACTCCTCTCTACTGAATGATTTTGTTGTATACGAATGAGTTGACGGCTTTCGTAAGAAGGAAGTGTATATCGTTGAAGTGATCTATATCACGAAGCATAGTGCGGTTATATTACTAAGGCCTGCAAAAAGTTTTTATTGTAAATATCATTACATACATAAAGTTAATATTATTATTAGTTATCGATCTTGATCGGTAAGTATGTTGATAGGTATTTGTCTGTCTGTTTGTCTGTTAGATACACGCGATATCTCACGAAGGCGAGGTGGAATCTGCTCCAAATTTTGCATGTGCATTCATCATATCTCGGGCCAAAAGCCTATTGCTTTTGGATGATTTATGTCGTATAATTAGCAAGTTATTAATTAATTAGTGATGGGACGCGCGGTGTCGCTGTAGAGTAGAGCGGATGAATCGAAACCGCAGTTTCTGTTTTGGGAATCCCCTAATTTTCGATCGATAAGTCTTCGGTCTCTGACCGATATTCTCGTTTATATAATATTTTATTTTCGTGACTCGTTCGCGGACTTTTCCAATTTGAGTCAATCCACGCCACTAATAATGTAGCTTGCATCAAATATTTAAAGCAATTTTACATGAAAATTTTTTTTTTTGACACTCTTCTGAAGTTATGAGAATGAAATGTTTATTTTTTTTTGACGGTTTTTGCACGTTTTAACGTGTTCTTCAGTGGTTTCAGCGTGCGAGGTTAGGTCGAAGTGCTGCCTATGCCTCATAACATGATATATTGAAACTGACGATGCTCACTCCACAGTTCTTTAAAGCATTTTGAGCATCCCCATGTTCTTGTGGGAAGTTGGGAGCTCCAGAAGTATGTGCACCAAGATGGCGCATAGCCTAAACATAGTATGTGTACCAACTACCAGGTTAGGGTTCAGGCTGTGCGCCATTTTGGTGCACATACTTCGGGAGCGTCGGAAGTTGTAAAAATTTTAATATATTATTTATATATATCATTCGCATTGACATCATTATTTCCATGAACTGGTAATGAGTCAATATGCTTTGTCAAATGAAATGGTTTTACTTTGTCATCTGAAATATTTCTTTCATAATCTATTAATTAAAAACATTTTGTCTGACCAAAGTTGAAGGGGGTGTCAATAAAACGGCTTAATCGTATGAAAAACCACAGCCTCTCGTCCGATTACCAGTTCATTTAATATATGGGAACAGATAACCAGTTTCAGATGCATAGAATGACTTGGAAACCGTAAAAAAGCACTTACGTGATTAACTTTGGAGTCAAGTAGTAGTCAGTCAGTAGCAGTTTTTTTTCACCAAAATGAAAATGCACTCGCAGTGAACATAAACTTATAAAAAATGCTGAAAATGACATTTCATGGTGAAAGGTGACGCGAAAAATCAATGTTGGTTATCGAGCAGTGACACCTGTGATAAGAGTCTAACTTTGATACAAGTTTAATAGAAATATGACGAACAATATATATATATATCAATATATCAAAGTTTAAAGTCCAAAAACCAAATTTGTTACAGAAAAAAGACTCCGGGCACTGTCAAGTACGGGAAGGGTAACCATGGGCAGCGAACAGCATAGCAACGACAAACGTGAATATCACCTTGGCACAGGGACAGCAGGCTGGGTACAGTCATACTGGAAAAGCCATTCGGGAACGACGCTTAAGTGCCAGTTTTTAAGGGTGCACGTTCTGGTGTTGTACCTAACAAGACAGGTATTAGATATTACATTTGGAACTATGAGTAACGTCTGAATTGTTAACAGTTTCTTAATATGGAACCAAATTCTACTGCACTTCAATTCGGCACTGTGACATGGTTACCGGACTGGAGTCATTAGATAAATTATCAGCAATCCCGATACACACAATTATTCCTTTCGACACTGCGCCGAGTAATTAGATAAGCGATGGCAAGCATTTCCTGGTACAATGCGCAAACTGCCGAGCATACGCAAGGCGATAAAAATACCATGATTGCGGCGTGGCGCATCGTGCAAAGCGTCAGGAATACGCTTGCCACCGCACTTCTGATTACCTTGAGTGGGTTCGTGTAATCGCTAATCAGTTACGACTTTCTTTACCATCAAGGCCGTGTATCGGAAACAAATAACTGGCTAACTAATTCCATACCCGACCTGGACTGGTAACAGGACGAGAGGCCGTGGTTCGCCATACGATTAAGCAGTCTTATCGACTTTCCTCTCTCCCGGAATCATAAGTAAAATCATCCTATCCAAAAAAACAAAATTTTTTAGAGCATGAATTGGACTAGTTGGACACGAAATGGACATAACGATCGTTTCGATATTATGTTGGTCTTGTTGTTGTTCTTTGACACTTTTTGGACATCTAGTGGAAAATCTAAAAACCGCTTTTCTCTTTCATTACTGGACCGATTGCTTCGAAATGTTTACTGGTTAAAGATGAAATTTTTCTCCAGAAGGCTATTACTTTTATTTATTTCAAATATTCCTGTTAGTTCTGTGAGATTTGTTTGCTATGACGTCATTAAACGTTCTGCGGTCATCGGACGCCATTTTGTGTCATACTGTGCTGCTTCGCTTGGTGTGAATATATTTGTAGACTGTGATCTGGCGGTACGGTAAACCGTACTGTACTGCGAACAGACGTGTCCATATATTTGGGCGTAGCTCTCTTGTTAGAATATATATCAGTTCGGCATTGCTACATGCCTTACGCAGAAGTTTATATCTTTAGTACAAAATCCCCGCCAATGCTCAAAATTAGTAATTATCCAGTCAGGGTTTGGAATGCAGATTGCACAAAAAATTAAGATCAATTCTAAGTCTAACTGGATAATTATTAATTCGTTATTTTAAAACGCGCCGGGGTGTTTTTCTCAAGTCTCGCATTTTTGCATTAGTGGTGGGGGCTTTGCAAAAAAGATCCGAAGTTTAACTCAACTGCAAGTATTTTCAATGTCTTTATGCTAGTAGATCGGTATGCGTATAATGCGCGTAGGACGAAAAGATATATAATTATCCTAAGTGATTAAAGAGTCTTGCAGCAAACGAACACGAATGCATTTCTGTAACGTTTCGTTCGACCAAGGTCAGACTTCCTAATTATCCTTTAATAACCAAGAGTTTTTGCTAGCGCTTAGCGCGAATCGGGGTCGTGTAAGACTGAGTATTGTTCATGGATCTGTATAATGCAGGAAATGTTGTAGCAGGAGTAAAGATAACTATTCGGAGTGATTCAAAAGTCTAACAATAACACAAATATCTCATTTTTCTAACTTCATTATACCACTGTGGTTGTGTGTGTGTGCGTCCGTATGAATTTGATTCAATGATTTTAGGTGAGTGAACACGTACTACTTCTTTTTGGCAATACCTTCCGTCCTATATTCTGTACATATTAAACAGTGTCCACCATGGTTTTGTTTTCTCTCCTGATTTCAAAATCAGTTTTTAGTTATTATTTCAATCCTTTTATGTTGATTATGGAGTCGAAATAAACTTATCTTAATATATTTCTGTAACATGTCGTCCGACCAAAGTCTGATTTCCTCTGGAAATATTGAAGCAGGAGTAAAGATAACTATCCTTAGTGATTCAAGAGGATTTATGTAACATTTCGTCCAACCAAAGGCGGATTTTCTCTGACAGGCAATTTCTAACTTTGTGTTCAGAATTCTCCTTTCAAATAATTTCAAAGTAATATTGAAAATTGAAATTTTATTTTATTGAAAAAAATCGATATAATCAGAAATATGTGATTTATACCACGAAGAACATATAGGAACAATATAATAATAGTAGAACTATAAGAACTTGATTTTAAATATAAATAAAATCACAGGGATGTACCACAAAGATACACTTTATCATGATCGGAAATATCATAATAAGAAATTAAAGAAATGGCCGTAAATGTTAACAAGAGAGCTATGCTCAAATATATGGACACGTAGCGCCACCCAGTGGCAATAATTTTGATGACGTCATCGCGAAAAAAAAGTAATAGCCTTCTGGAGAAAAATTTTATCTTTAACCACTGAAAATATCAAAGCAATTGGTCCAGTATTCGAAGAGAAAAGCGATTTTTTAAAAATGGAGACGGAGACAAATAACAATAACAACAAAATTTTGAAACGATCGTTATGGCCACTAAACGTTTCCAATGAAGGCAATAAGTCAAACCATGACTTGGTCCAAATATCTCACATGTTCAGATTAGCGCAGATAACCTTGCATACGTAAATTATTATTTTTCGGCATTTTGCAATTTCATAGCATTCATCACTTTATTATGTTTGGCCAAAGTCGGACTTTCTAAGCCAAGCAGTTTCTCACTTTCTGTTCAGAATTCTACTTTCAAACAATTTTAAAGTAATATTAATGTTACGAAATATTTTATTGAAAAAAGTCGATATAATCAGAACTACATGATTTATATCATCAAGAAAAGAAAGAATATATAAGAACTTGATTTTAAATATAAATAAATCGCAGAAAAGTAACACAAAAGGTACACTTTATCATATAATCAGAAATATCATGATAAGAAATTAAAGAAATGGCAATAAATGTTAATAATAGCAATAAGTCAAACCATGACCTGAGTTTTTTTCACCTGTGGTCCAAATATTTCACATTTTCAGGGTAATAAATTTGAACCTTGCGTTCGAAAATTTCCCTTTTTTGGCATTTTGCTATTTCATAGCATACATCACTTTATATATCGCAATAAGGATTGAAAGTAAAGGACTACTACTTTTTCCTGCTAATTAATGTTAGGCTATGGAGTCAAAGTTTTGTACGTTTTTATTGGTATTGGATTTGGAATCATATTTCAAAGAATTGTCAGAATTGTAAATTCTTCTTTTGAATAGGACGAAATAAGACTTGAAATATCAGAAGGAAACTCTAAAATTGTAAAGACAGCTTACATTCCCAAAAAGTTTTATGATCAAAATTTGGTTTCTTTGGAGTCTGTGGAGATGTTTGCCAAAGAAACTTGCATGCTAAAAAGCTTTTTCTTGGGAATTTCCATTTTGTGCATTTTTTTAGGGGGAGTTGGTTTGAGGGTTGTGGTTATCTTTGCTTTCTAAGCTACAATTTCTCCACCTAGCAATTCTTGTGGATGCCACTGTTGTTGGCCTAAGGTCGTATCCTGATGTTCCGGAGGCAAGATGGTGCTTGATTGCATTGGGTGAAGTTGTGTCTTCATTAATCAGTTCTTTTGCCAATGCTTTCCATTCAGAGAATGCAATCCATGTGCCCTAGGAAGACAAGGAGTAATGCTCCAATATATGGATACAAAGGTCCTAGGTCAGGGGTTGGCAATCCCTTTGGCACGCGAGCCCATTTATTCGGCACGCGAGATCATTCAGATAAAAAGTTTCAAGACTCTGAATTATCTGATGAAACTAGATGTTCGTATTCATTATCGTTTGTTATCAATCCGTTATAAATTTACGTCCGTTATTTATTTCTCTTTTTGTTCTTTGATGACACATGGCTACAAATAAATATATTATGACGTAATAAATGAGTAAGCTGTCGAGAAGAGCGCAGCATTTATTTGGTTACATTCTCACGTAACATAGTTCGTCTATGATGAAACCCTCTGCGCCACCATTTTTCTTCATTTCTACTTGATTTATGGAGTTGTACAGCAAATGTCGGTTAAATTTACTTGCTAATTTACTGTTTTAAATTGATCTCCTAAGAAATATATACATTTTGGGAAGGGAATACAAGGGCGAAGTGCAGGAAACCAACTATTGCGTGATTGGGACGCCATTCCCGAAAATTGTTCGGATCTTAAGAACTTTGCAACAGCATTACTCCCCATGTTTTCATATAAATATGCTTTTGAATCTTAGTTCTCAGAACTTTTGCTTTGAAAGTAGCAGAGCATTGTTTTTAATATCAGTCGGCACGCGGTAGAATTTTGTCGTTGAATTTTGCCAATTTTGGCACGCGAGTCGAAAAAGGTTGCCCACCCCTGTCCTAGGTCATCAGAACGGGCAAGGTAAAGCCATAGCTTGGCATCTACTTTGAGTTTGCTGGAAAAATTTGTGGAGTAAGTAAATGCAATTCCTGTGTCCTGGGCAAACAAGAGCAATGCTCAAATATAGGCCCACAAGGATCATCAGAACTTGCAATGTAAGGCCCTGTATTATGGTACAACGGCAAAATAACCTATTCCCGATAATTAATTGTCATCCTTATCGTGGTACAAATTTGTGATTTATAGACAATAAACGTCAACGTAAAGGCGTTCACGGCCTAAATAACACGTAACGCGATGAAAACATTCGGCAATTTTAGCAAAAGGCAATCGTATGCGTTATCGTCAACTTTTTTAATTTTCATTAACAAAATTAAACTTTACCTCCCACAGGAGGCTTTTTAAGAGTAAATTTATGTGAAGAATTTTCCAGACATCACTTCTTCCAAAGAATTCTTCAATTCACTGTAACATTTGGGGTTTGTAAATTTATAACATGATACATTAGAAGATTCACCCTATGAAAAAATTAACTCAGGTCCCACCCCGAAACCCCGGGGAAGAACGGAATATTCTACGTTGCCAAAATTTAACCCTAACCTTCATTAAGAGTGTTTCAAGAAGAAATTCTCAAAAAATTTTCCACGAGGGATGTTTTCAGAAACATAAGATTAACTTACTTCTTCCAGAGACTTTACATCATTCTGTTTGAAAGGATAACTGTAATGCTTGAGCCAAAATCCTAGCAATTCCAACAGTTTCTTTAAAATATCGGAACCGTGAACAAAAATAGATGAAAGATATCTGAAATTTATGAAAATAATTTGTTTAATTCTGAATGGTATATACCAGGGGTGGGCATGGTTTTCGTACTGTAGCCCAAACGTTTTGCCCATTTAGACTGGCATGCCATGAAAGTGTGAAGTAAAAGTTACATTTTATGGACAATATTTACAGTTTTACAAAAGCAAAAGTGGACAACTATGAGCCTCGTGCCAAAACTCACTTTGATCGTAATCCCAATAAATTCCTTAAGCTATTTTTTGCTAAAGCAGCAAAATTTGGTTTTAATTTGGTTGTGACAGCATCAGGCGGGCCAGATTGAATTTGGCCAGCAAGCCGCAGTTTGCCCATGTCTGGTATATAAACTCTTAATCACACAGTATCGAATTTACCTTGGCAATTCATTGTTCTTCCACGCAATATACAGAATAATAATACAAGTGTTAAGGCAACAAACATTGTCCTGAAATAATTTATAAAATATAGAAATTAAAAACTGCAGAATATTTTGTAACCCTATAAATATTTACGGTATTATCAATTAAAAAAAAATTCTATTTATTAAAGTCAGTTCTCAATATATCTTAACCAGGTTGTTTACTTAAATTCATTTAATACATCTGCGAGAGTCAAAACGATATGATATCGATGAATTTCCTTTGCAATTTTAAAACATTTTAAGACTTTCTGGACACCCTATAATTGAACAATATAGGCCTACATATAATATTACACACTCTCGAATTTGAATGAAAAGGAGATACTTTAACTAAAACAGCCACAGATATGTAAGCCGCATACCTGACTTAATGGTTCGACACACAACACTGCAATGAGGCTTGCAATGACTTGCACCCTTTTATCACGATCGTTGTAATATTCCAAAATTCGGCAATCTTTGACAGAGGTCCCAAAGTTGTTGATTGTTAAAATTACACATCGAATAAACATGTTTGAGTCAACTAAGTTTGTTTCAATCAAATTGCATAGTACAAGAAACTGAAATAAATATTAAAGGTTTGAATTTCCAAAAAAACATCGGTAATTGGTGCTCCATTTTGGGCTGTAGGAAGATGGTCGACTTCTGATTACCCTACGGCGAACCACATGGTCTGAGTCGTAGCCAGGAACTTTAAAAGGGGTGGATTCTAAAATTTCTAATTGCCAAGTTCAGCTAGCAGGCCGAAAAACGTGTTGAGTCTAAAAAGCGTTTCAGAATTGCTATATATAATAAAAAAAATGCCTTTTTTTAAAATTTCAAATGGTTGTTACGACTGACTATTTCCTGCATATGTTGAAATATTATGTGCGAGAGAACTCTCTCCACTACGACACTGGAATATCTGGTTGGTAACGTATTCGTCCATTATTAGTATGTGCATGTGCGAATCCTCCAGCACGAAAACATCGAAGGATAGATAGCTGGTCTGACGTAACCCTAACTGATGAGAAAATAACGTACTGTTCGTTGTGAGTCCACAATTTTAGCGAACTTCCTAAAAGCATAAACGCTTCCCTTCATCAAAGTAGCAAGGAGATCAAAATGACCTTGGATGACCCAGGATCGTGGCTGCTCCGTTGATAAAAGTACTCGAAATAATTCCTAAAACGGAAAAATAGGATTTAAATATTTGTTTTTTGATAGAATACCATCCCCTCACCCAGGGTCTAATAAATTGGGTAGGTAATGCAAGAAAGAAAAGATTTTAATTGTTTAATAAAATAAAGTAGATTTTTAAAAAGAAAAAGATTCTTGTACAGAGCTTTGTTCGGAGTGATATGCATGTTAAAAGCGTCTGTAGAAAATAAAGCCAAAATACAATCAATGCACGTAATAAGAATCAAAACAAAATAACTAACAATCTGACTCTAAATCATCCCTCAGGTGGTGAAATTTACTTAGAGAGAGAAGTTATTTTGATAAAAATTTAATTTCTTCAGAGTTGAAAGTTGAAATCAAAATTTTGCTCAACCATGATTCATTTATTATATCGACTCAAATGGCTTTACTTAAGTGAAGTTTGACTTGTTTGAAATAGTGAAATTTCGACCAAGTATTGCTTGAGGCCATTTCAACAAAATATGCCAATAGCTATGATCTCACCTCAAGTAGGCCCTTCTTCATGAAGAAAATCTGGTCAGCTTTTGAAGGTTTGCCGCGAAGAAATGCTTCCAATGCACGAGCCATCCAGAACCTGAAGACAAACAAGACAGTTTGAATGCATGGTCTATCCTTTGTGTGTTATACGAGGTGCGGCTAAAATGAAACGGGACTGACGTCACGATTGCGCAACACGATTAACCATCGGTAATCAACACTTTTGCAGTGTGGCGTATTATGTGTTCTTTGTTTAACAGCTGTTTTGACACAACATCGCAATTATTTTTGCTTACCAAGATCCATAAGTGAATGTGATAAATTTCTTGTTGAAAAAAAAAATGCTGTGCGAGTTTTTTGGCGATAGGGGGTTCAATTGCAGAATGACGATTGAGCAAAGAATTAACATTAAATTTTGTGTCAAACTTGGAAAAATGCATGTCAACTCAGCATGCATTCAATCGTTGAGCTTTCTGCTCCTCAGTCAACTCAAGAGCCTTTCGCATTCCCGAAGTGTCAACCAAAATGGTGCGGATCGTTTCTTTGTCAATGACGCGAATTGTTAAGCGACGGTCACTGCGAACCAACTGCCAAACCTTTTTGATGTTGGTATCAGTAGTGGAAGTGCAAGGCCTCCCTGACCTCGGATCATCCTCCACATCCTCCCTGCCTTCCACAAATCGCTTGTGCCATTCAAAAACTCTTGTTCTGGACATGGAAGAATCTCCATAAACATCACGCAACATCTGCAAAGTCTCAGTCGCCGTTTTTCCAAGTTTGACACAAAATTTAATGTTAACTCTTTGCTCAGTCGTCATTCTTTAATTGAACCCCTTATCGCCAAAAAACTCGCACAGCATTTTTTTTCAACAAGAAATTTATCACATTCACTTATGGATCCTGAGAAGCAAAAATAATTGCGATATTGTGTCAAAACAGCTGTTAAACAAAGAACACATATTACGCCACACTGCAAAAGTGTTGATTACCGATGGTTAATCTTGTTGCGCAATCTGTGATGTCAGTCCCGTTTCTTTTTAGCCGCACCTCGTACATCGATTTCTAATCGAGGTCGAACACGATACACAATTTTGAGTTCCGCTTCCGCAGAACTGCATTTGAGCTGATTTTGATGTTAGTGTCAGCACTTATAAACCAAACCCCACAGCAGGATAAATTCAGAATTTGCTTGTATAGTGAAAGGCATGTAAAAAAACATGATTTTTGATGATTATGGAGACTAACCTGATACGAGAGGAATCAGATTCAGCTTTCATCTTTTGAACGATGCTCGTCAATATTCCAGGATGTTTAAGACAACAATTGTCTCTATCTATGTCAGCGAAATCCTGCCGCAAGGGGATGCAGTATTTTTCTGCAAAAGATTACGAAGATATTAAACGAGGATGGACAAAACCATATAACTAACAATCCTTTACCCCTCACCTCACAAGGGGTTAATAAATTAAATAGGAAAGATAGCAGAAAGATACCGGTACTTTCAAATAAAAGTAGCTTAAGATATGCTGCTTGCATAAAGATTTTCCAGATCGAAAGGCATGAATAAGCATCATCCAAAAAAGGGGAAAGAGTACAGACTACGCAATAACAGTGGTTTCAAACTTTTTTGTGTTGCGGTACATCAGTAAGGTCTAAAGCAGCGGTGCCACAGGGCAGTTGGAGGGGGGCCACAATACTGGGCGCAAAACTGATTTTACTTTCACTTTACAAGAAAACTCCTTAATTCTTCCTAGTTTGAATGCCTGATAAGGTTATTTCACAGTGTGTTTTCACATTGTTGAGGATAAATTGTTTGAATATAATGGGAATTAGAATACACCAATTAAAATAACACTATAAATACCACTGGACATGAGTGTTAAAAGCCTACGAGCATGTTGCAGCACACGCCTCGGCATACGAGCATGTTGCAGCACACAGTTCGGGAACGTCTGCTCTATACCATACTTACCAGATATATCCTGTAATTCATTTAATTCTTCCTTACTCAGCAACAGATATCTGTTCAGGTGATGGTCTGATATGGAATAGATGAAACGTAGAAATTGAATTTTTACCATCGAAATCTAAAAATTAGAAGAATGAAAACAGAATTTAAAAAGGGGAGCGAAAGGAGTGGATAACCTTCAGACTTGTAGGCCTTATTGTTTATTTTATATTTGTATTGAAGTGTTGCTCAATAGTGTATGTGGGAAGAGCCACAGCAAACAAACGTAGCATCTGCTGTTACCAGTCAGTCAGTAAATTTTGTGACCATTTAAAGCAGAGATTGGCAACCTTTTGTTGCTCGCGGGCCAAAATTAAGGGTTGCAAGTCATTGACGGGCCGCATATATTTTCAAAAGGTTGAAAAACGAACGAATGATACTTTTTATAATAAAAATCAAGTAGTGATACATCTCTCGAATAGAATATAGATTTATTTCCTCATTGCATTGCATCTCAAAAAATTCCATTTGAATATTTTCGGCGCCATTGAACCCTTAGCATCAATTTTTGTTTTCCATTTGTCTAATTATAACCAATTTATATGCTCATTAAACGAGTAATTGTGAATTATATATTCGATATGTTATAATATAATTTAGTCTCACAGTAAATTCTGTTACGTAAAGAATATAATCGTTAAAACAGCTGTTTTGTTACTATAATTCAGTGAAGCGTCGCGGGCGTAGGTTGCCGACCCCTGATTTGAGGCATAAGCATTACATACCGCCTAGTATTTGAGCATTCCCTCGAGTTGTGAGATTTTATAAAAAACAAATTCTATTTTGGTTGCTTGGCTCGTGAAAATTTGCGAGCCACTCGCTAAAACAAAGTAATAATCAAATGAAAAATTCAACAAACTTACAGCTCCGAATTGCGACCGAGATTCTGGCATGGATAAGAATCCCCTCATTGGAGTCCAGATTATTGATTCAGCAGTTTTCTCCATACTTTGCACAACTTTGTGTTCCAGTAGAATTTTTTGCATCTACAATGAAATAAAAAAAATTTTGGCTGCCTTGATGTAGAACCTGGCATTTTGTGCATTATGTCAAGCATTAGTATTGATTAACTCTCGCCATACCAGACATGGACCTGACTATAATTTGCCATATTATTGAGTCATAAATATGAATCCAAAATTAGGTTGAAAATATGTATTAGATCTCCAACATAAAGGAGTATGGGCCTTCCAGATACCCAAATTACTGAAACTATATAATCTAGTACTCATACAGTTCGCCGAGTGTTGAAAAAATTTTGAAATTTACCTTGACCTCTGGCAGACAAAAAGAAAAACAAGGTGGTGGCAATTTGAAATTTTCATCTGTACCGATTCATAATTTTTACTATTCGATTTTAAAGGCCCATCCTCCAAATAGGTTTGAATCATACATAATTGGCAAAGTCTTCTCTATTGCAAAATAATTTACATTCAAAATGCCATACCTGGTCCTTGTATTTCCCTGTGAGCAGCACACTTAAGAGAAGTAATGCGTCAGATCGGATAGATTTCTCAACATAAAGTGAATTTTGATAAACTAAACGTTCGTATACATGTGGTCCAGCTAAGAAAAATAAAAAGAACATTACTTTTTTAATAACAACAATATTCTATTTTCCTGAAATAGCAAATATATTTTAGGGGGTTGGCTTATATGCTGGAATATACAGTATTATATTTAAATTTCAGCCTTGACTTTAGACAAGCTAGACTGAATTAATTTCGAACAACTTTGGATAAATGTATAGAATACTTACTTACAATGGAGGCTCGTAGTTCTTCCATTGGATCTTCATAGTCATCACTATTTATCATAGGAAACATTGGTTCATTGGGCAATAAGTCTGGAACAGGAACCGCTAACTCACGACATGATATCTTGAACAATCTTTTCAAAAAAGTCTCAGAACCGATGAGATATTCTAAGAAAGCTAAGACGATGAAATTAGTTGATATTAAAATGACACAAAAAGCAAGTGTTTTTTTTTCACATTGTTATTTTTTAAGCATTAGAAAAAGTGAGACGCTTACGATAGGACTTATATACATGGTGTCCATAAAGTACCTTTACAATTTCAATTTTGTTAAGTCAGTTCTCAATATATCCCAACCAGGTTTGTTGTTTCTTAATCAATAATTGTTTTTTTACTTCATTTAATACATCTGTGAGGGCCAAAACAATATGGTATAGATTTCTCTTGCAATTAGAAAAAAATTTTGAGACTTTAACCCCCCCCCATATCCAATGTGAAAAGAAAGTCGTTAAGACAGCAACATGGCATCTTGCTGATTATTAGGTGCAGGAGTGGTTAACCAGCTATTTGTGACAGATTCATGGACTGGATGGTGGAGGTAACCACAGATGTGACGAGGAGTCGCAGTGTAATAAAATCCAAATACAGGCTAAAGTAACAGAAAATTTGTCAAGCAGCCTTTTTTTTACAAAGAATAACTTTTGTTATATTATACTCATAAATGGTCAAAATGTCGTCCGTGCACTTCAGAGCAGTGTCTTAACCTTGAAGTCGAGGTCATGTAGTGTTTTGAAGGTTAACTTGTGGTATATCGTTCCAATTCAACCTATACATATAGGCCTACATATTTTATTCATTATCTCATCTGACCTTCAAATTTCCCGTTTTTTTAGCGACCGACCTGTATATTTAAAGTATTTGAAGTACAAGTTCGTCTTTAAAACACAAATATAAACAAACCATTATGTGATTGGTCGAGTCCTTCCCTTGCGTTATTAACCATTAAGTTATCTTCTTCTGCGAGTGAAGCATCACCGGAAAAATGGCTTTCATGTGCGCTTAGTATTGTTGATATAATATGGAACAAATGTGCTTCTTGTTGATATGGGAGTTGTTTTTCCAATATCGTGCTATTAAATGTCAGAGAAGTGAAATGAAAAAGGTATGAATGAGTCAAAGGTTCGCTTAATAAACAGTGAGTGAGATCAATGGTTGTAAAAACACGATTGGTGTTAGAGGCATGCTTGCAGTCGCATGCCATTTTGCCCAGCGAGGGTTCGCCTGTTAGAATCACAAGGAAGACAATTATGTGCGAGCAGAGGAGAGAGATTTATATTTCTGATGTTTCATAATTTATATATTCATTGTGTTTTACAATCTTTATAAATGAGATTCCAGGAGTATTTATTACAAATGATCTGAAACCTTAATCACATCCGAAAAGACTTCTTGCATTTTGACAACTATATCAACGCAAAATAAAACCACTTTACATATTTATTTTAGGGGAAAGGCAATAAGACGGCTTGGCTTTATCATATGGCGAAATTCAACCTCCCGTCCAGTTACCAGTCCATGTTGAATAAGAGACTAGTCAGCCAAGCAGTTATTTGTTTCAGATGCATGGACTTGGTGGCTCAATCATATGACGAACCACAGATGATTAGCAGTCCATGCCAGTTACCGCATAAGTCGGCCAGTTATTTGTTTTCAGATGCATGGACTTGCATGGAAGTTATGCGGGCTCAATCAATAGATTGGATCTGATATAATCCTGTAATATTTGTATCTACTGAGTAGAAACAGCCATTAAAAAAAACGATGTAAATCAGTTGGAAGAAACCCCAAATCTGTCGACAGAGAAATATAACTTACCGTAAGCAAGCAATGTTTCTCATATCAATGCTGTGTGATGAAGATAATATACTTTCTTCCAACAGGAATGAGGCATCAGAAAATATCTGTTTCCGACCCTCGGCCAAACAACTGAACAGAAAGTGCAACAAATGGGGACGATCTAAGAAATGAGAGAGTGAGACGGGTACCTGTAGAATAAAGAAAAAGAAAAAAATTTGTAACAAAGTATGAATGTGATGGAAAAATTGTAAAAATAATATTTGAAACCAGAGTTTTTAAATGTGGGTTCTTGCCTCCTCCCCTACCCCGTAAAGGCCACAGAGTTTAACTCTTGTGGTCTAATACAAACCCCTTCACACTAGATACCATTTGAGATGACTTTGATCTTCGACTGTAATGCATTTACCGTTTTTTCTTATATTTTCATTTGTTGACCTTTTCATTATTGAACAAGGCGGATAAAATAACTAATAGAAACCCATCGAAACGAAACTAGGTTCTTTTATTGGAAAAGCAGGCCCAAACAAAGTATTAACAGTCTTTCGAAATGTCAGTCTTCTACACAGTTCATCAAGCTCTCTCAGTGTTAACTTTAAAGGATTTGATAATTTAATGGCAGGTACTAAATACAGTCAGTCAGAAAGAAAATTAAACTTACACGTTGTGCTGCAAAAACCAAGATCTGCAGCATATAAAGAACTCCCTTAATCTCTTCTTTCCATATTTTCTTGATTTGAATATTTTGAGAAATATCAAGAGAAGTATCATAATATGCCCGAACCAGTATGTCAATAATGATCTAAAAAAATTAATTTATTACTTTAAGCAGTATGACCGTATTACAAATCATTCCAACTGCGCAAAAGCAGGAGTGCGACCTGTACATAACTAACACTAGCCAAATTTCCATCAAAAAATACAGTAGTTTCTATGCATAAGGAGAGAGGCATAAAGAGTTACAAAATAGGTAAAGGAAGGAATTCAAAGAAAAAAATAGGGAGGGAACCAACGACAGGAATAAAGCATTGGAATTTAAATTCTATGCCAATCACCTCAAGGTGCAATAAATTGGTTGGTCAATGTCGAACTGGAGAGATATTGCCATATTGCCCTTTCCAAAATATAATAGCCCATTACCAAGCCATACGTGCCTGTATAGAGATAAAAACCGAAAAGAGAAAACATGTAAAACGTTGTATGGAAAAATAACTTTTCAAGACTTTTTTGTCTGTAATTTTCTCTTTGTTATACCAAGCATCATACTCTGAGAAATAGGAACATTACAAAACACACCTCTATTCCACCCGCATAACAAAACTCTTCTGCTGCTGGCTTAGATTTTATGACAATCACATTACGAATGTTCTGAAATGAAAGATTGAATTTATTTCGATCAAAAGAAAACATTTAAGGGTTTTTTCAAGGTGTAGGTGGATGCTCACGATTTTTGGTGGTTTTCAAGCGTTGTTCAAAGCAAATGTGGGAAACAAATAAAAGACTAAAGCCAGGAACGTGCTTGCAACAGTGCCAATGGATATCTAGTGTAGGTTGGCAGGCAGTGGCGTAGCCAGGGGGGTTAGAGGATCAGAACCCCCCTTTTGAAATGTAAAACATAGCAATCTTCGAAGCTTCAAACACTTTAGACCAGGGGTCACCAAACTTTTTTGACCGCCGGCCGGGTATGACTCAAACTGTGTTGAAACGGGCCGGACAAATATTTTTGTCAATGCAATAAATTCACAAATCTCAAACTAACATGCACAACTCCAGCGTTTATTTGCGACGATCTTTCGGCAGTGTCAAGACCGTTGCCAGAATAAAATCCTGAAATAATCTCAATATTCCATAGATGTGACGCAGATCAAAAGATTAGTGATTGATATGTGTTCTTTTTTGTATTTATTGCAGTTTTTATCAAAAATGTAGTACAATCCTTATGGAAAAAATTGGCCAGGGGTGGTACTAAAATGCCGTTATCTCTGTTATTTCTTGACCGTTTTTTTATAAACTTGGTATTGTTTTCTTATTTTCACTCAGATCTATCCAATGGCGCAGTTTTTATATAAATCGGATGAACTTTTTTTGTAACATACCCACATGAATATCCGCATTTATGCAGTATAGATTAAGTTAGTGTGAGTTGTGAAATTGGAGCAGTACGCGAGGGATTACAGTACTGTTAGCGCAAAATGCACATTCGAAGTTCTTTTTAGCACAAGAAACGTAAGCAGTTTCGTCGAAAGCACGCGCCACGATTGAACGAGTGCATCTTTCGCAAAAAACGTTGCGTACCGGTATGGAATTTTGGCCTATCACAGCTATTACTAGACTAATTTTTCATTACTATTACAACATTAAAACTACAGCTCCTCATGAGGCAAATGATGATTGACTTGTTTGATTCATACAAAAGTGTCTGAGCGGATGCGAAAAGACCTATTATTACGTCAATTTTTTGCATCTTGCTGATTGTCCAATGTTACGAAATAAACAAGACTATGCTCGGGAAAATTTGGAATAAAATTTCGCCATTTTTGCGTATTATTGCGGGCCGGATAAAATGACGCCGCGGGCCGGATCTGGCCCGTGGGCCGTAGTTTGGTGACTCCTGCTTTAGACCATTAGGAATCTTGGAAACCCCCGGCCTCTGGCCCCGACCGACTTGGCAATTAGAAATTTCAGAACAAATCCAGCTTTGAAAATTCATGGCTTCCTCCTTCTTCACTCCAATTTTCGCAGGTAAAAATCTCATACGGATTGGGTCCCGCAACAGCTGGTATGTTTCGACTTCTTATACCATTACTAAGTCCATGCATCTGAAACAAATACCTAACTAAAATCCCCCTCTCCAGAGAATGAAAGAACAAAAGAAAAGTAAAAGAACAAAAATACTGTTTTAGGAATTATTTCAGCCGCACCAGAAGTATGTGTACCAATATGGAGGTAATTAGATTTGTTCGCCTATCTTACATCAAGTTGTATAAAAGGACTAATACCTATGGGCGGGGAATATTCACTTAGCTAACACAGACAGTCCCTGAACTCGTAATAGAACTAAAATAAGGAAAATCAGAATAAAATTATGGCCTAACCCTAACCTGATACACACACTACTGGAGTACCTTACTTTCAAACATGCCAGCAAATCTACATCCTTCAAATTGAGATCTTCTCCTCTTGCAAAATCGAACAATTCCCTGACATTCACTGGCAACTCACCTACATCATTGAATCTCTCTTGGTAAGATTGAATATAACCTTGAGGAAGCTGGAATGAAAAGAAAGTTTGGGTAACAAAATGGAATATTATCACATATTTTTCTAAGGAATTCTGCAATGTAGAAACTAGCAACTCATGATTGTTTTTTTGATCATGCCAACTTGAAATGCATCAAATATAGTGCCAATATCAATGGTTTTCAAATGGGGGGGCCCGCCCCACATGGCGTAGACAGTTTTTTAGGGGGCATGAATCTAATTCAAAATATTTGATAGATTTGATCCTACCTGTCTTTTTTTGAATATTTACAAGTTTTTCCAATTAAACATACTTTCGCCTTACTATCTGTTATTTGTAGCTTATTGTTAGCTAGTTATTTTTGAGATGGGGCACGAGATTTGACAAATTCCAAGAAGGCGGGGCTGCTTAAAAAGTTTGAGAACCACTGGCCTATATATTTAGTGTACATTTTTGGTTCTCCGACTAAGGGCACTACTAATAGCACTGCAAATTGCCATATCAGCATCTGCTATAACGGAGCCTTGTTCCTGGAGATAACGACTCGTAATTAAAACATCCTATACCTTATCATATCTCCTCAAACGTTTGCCATTTGTGGTAGAATTCCTCAAAAATGAAACAATGTTCTGTGGCTTTTGGTTTCCATTTCCATTTAATTGTGGTTTCTTTGAGGCAAAATCACTTTCACACGTTTGTGAAGATGTTGAAGAGGTCATTACGACATAACACTTGTATCAGTATTTTTTATACTATTCTAGGATCTAAATTTAATAATAAATACATCAGAATGTATTAGTAAAGAGTAATATAAAGACAAAATTTCACTGATACACTATTAACTGTTCATATAGCGAAAAAATGTAAAATACAATAATAGTTCGATTTCTAGAATTAGAAATATACAGAAGATAATTGTAACAATTTAAATTTCTTGTCTGTGCTGTAGAAATTAGAGCTAATGCGATCGTCTGAGGGGTGCCAAACACCCAACAAATTTTCCATGTCATTATCGAAACTGAGAATTATCAAAACCAAGGAGTGCCAGTGTGGTGTGGGTTACAGCATCTGATTGGAAAAATGTAAAATGTTTGAGAATACAGCAAAGTCTGGGCCAGGACTTCCTAGGGATACCAAAGGAAACAAAAAAGGTACTCCTGAAGTATGCGCACCAAGATGCTGCATACCTGAACCCTAACCTGGTACACAACTTGAGTTCAGGTTTTCATTATCAAAACTGGAATCCAATGAGTGCCAGCGTGGGTTACAGTACCAGATTGCAAAAATGTTTGAGAATGCTAAGAAATCCCGGGTAATTCGGCCGTCCTAGGGGGACCAAATGGAACAAAAAAATTTCACGCCATTATCACTCCTCAACGTTTCACAATCGGGAAGAAATGTTTCGAGGGAGTACAATTAGTATCACTGTAAATTGTTAAATTTGACATAAATCATGATAAACTCAACACAAACCGACATTCAGAGGCATGCAGGCGATGTAGCTATAGAATTCGGGACGCCTGTACATAGCTCTAATAACAATCTGATCATCGTGTCTCCATCATCGACAAATTTATCACAGATTATGAATGGCCAAGTCATTTGGAAGAAATAAACTTCAAGCTTTATATTACACATAACTAGGTCTATAAACAGTTAATAAATCACAAAATATAATAAAAAACAACAAAAGAAAAATGTATCATTTAAGAATAAGCTGATATATTAGGCAGATAGAAAATGTATTTTCATTCAAAACGAAGGACCTTTGACCCCAAAAGCATAGACTTTTTTACTATGTTAGAATTGTATGTTGAAGATCACGGTTTCGAACCTGTGTCCACCACCACATGGTGTAATAAATTGGGTAGGATTTCAACAGTTCTTTATGTTTTTATTCCATCAATGTGGAATAATGACTGGTTCTTAAGTTAAAACTTTGTATAGCAAGTTTAATCATAGAAACCAAGGGAATATATCAGATTTAAACGGGAATTGCAAAATTCCTAAATTGTACCGGCAGAATCATAACAGGGCTCCAGAACCCCTTATTGAAAATAGATATTCCCACAATATATAGCGGTACTCCCGTAGTATGTGAACCAAGATGGCGGACACCGCAACGTAGTGTGTACCAGGTTAGGGTTAGGTCATAATTTGTTTCAATTTTCCATATTTTAGTTCTATTACGAGTTCGGGGACTAGCCAAGTGACTCTGGTAGCATTTGTACCTGCTATTATTGCCTAACCCTAAACTGGTTTACATACTATGTTCCGGTATCTGCGATCTTGGTTCTCATACTTCGGGAGTAGCGCTGCTTTTCACTAGAGCTTTATTTTGAGCGGAGGTGAAAAAACATAAAAAAATGAAGTTCAGAGCGATTTCATAAAAAGGTAGAGACATGCTGAACTCAGCAATGAACTTAGTAATATTAATATGCTTCAAAAACACACAGTGCACAATGAATAATTATAAAAAATGAAATTGGAAAATTTTTTTTTATCTAATCAGCTGCTCAGTCCTGGAATAAACAATCCCTGGCTCTTGACATAAAGGAAGTTCACATAATTCAGTTGAATAATTTGCAAGGTATACAATAAATTTGGTATTTTGAGTTGGTAAACACCATCACTGCTTTTTTCATGGTAAAATTCATATTTCTAAGAAAAAAGAATAGATATTACTAAGTCTGACTTTTCATGTAGAGGAATTTCCATAATTTACGAAAATATATTGTTCAAAGGAGATTCATTTTAATGGGATTTCAATAACTTATAGTAACAATTCTCTTTTTAATAACTTGAAAAAAAGAATAGATATTCGTTAAACTGAATGGTTCCAGGCTTTTAAAATAGACTGAGGAAGTCCACATAGTTAAATTTAATGAGTTGAAAAAAAATCAAAAAAAGCAGTTTTTTAAAAAGATTCCAAAAACTTGATAAAAATTACTGAATAAATGTTCTTTTTATAGTGAGATTTGAATTTACATAATCTTATGAAAGATAGATTCACGAAGGTTAAATTAAACTATTTTATAAAAAGAGATCGGTAGTATTACGCACAATATTTAGATATGTATTGTAACCAAAAATGGGACGTTTTGAGACATTAAGACTATCCATAGCGCGAATTAGCTCAGTGATTTACTCGATTACGGATAGAAAATGGATAATGATTGTTTATTATCTTTCAAAGAGAAAAAGACTCATCATCAACCAGGATAGGGCTTGAGTTCAGGGCCGTAACCAGAGAGGAGTCTGTATCATAATTATCAAATTATTGCAACTTGAAACGCATATTAGGCGTTTAAGACCCTTGAAAACAAATGCGTTTCGGCATCTAGTCGAACCTGCTAGATCAGGGGTGCACAACTCAAATGAGGATACGTGCCAATTTTTTTTAAATAATCTTGTCGGGTGCCACGCACAATTGTGGTATTGTAAATTAACTCCCGTAAAACAAACAAATTGCAATAACAATACATAATAACGAATATCTTTTTATTGAAACAATTTAATGTCCTGAAAAAAAAACTCCTGATTTTGATATAAATGTGATATTTTAATGTATATCATAAATATTTTTTTTACAAAACTGTCGCGTGCCACGTTTGAGCGTAAGGCATGCCAAATTTGGCACGCGTGCCTCATGTTGTGCACCCCTGTGCTAGATGTTACTGTCTAACTTGGCAATTTCAGACCCCTTTCTTCACGAATCCTTCCCCCTTGCTCAAGTTATCTAAATGAAGAGATTTGAGACGCTTTATAAACCAAACACTGGTGAGACCTGACTCAAGGATTGAATAGACTCTGAGCCAGATGTCCAGTGACTTGATACAACTTGCAACATGATGTTTAAGGACTTGCCCCAGAATGATAATATGTATGATAATAAAAAAGGTAATACACTTGAAAATAGGAAGAATAAGTAAAATTAACTAAAATAATATGAAAATAATAAAGAAAGAATAAATTAAAACCATTACTTACGATTAATGAAACATGTGAATAGACTAAACAACATTTTCAAGTTATTTTACACACATATACTGATAGCCTCTCTATTGACATCATAGTTCAAAGAATGAAGCGTACAGTCTTTTACGATGCATCAGGTGTACTTCAAATCTTTTTTTTTCCCAAAAATAGATTGTGTGACTGTGACGTATAAGCCAATGCACCTAATGCAGGGTGGTCCAAGGTTGTCGGCTCCGCGAGCCACAAAATTATTTTTGCATTGTTCGCGGGCCACAATAGTGCCAAGAATAGGTAAACAGTGCAATACAAAACAAACACCTTTATTGTGCAAACACATAGTTATCAGACATAGCCATCCCAGGATAATATAATCCGCATTCGATTTTTAATTTTCTATGATGCCTATATTGTTAGCATATATTCCCGACCAAAAAGATAGAAAGCCAGATAATAATTTAGACTGCCAAGCACATCATCCGACTTCGCTAGTTGCATCAGCTAGCCATAACACTAGTCAATTCAGTGACATAAGTGATGTAACAATAATACAAAGCGATTTTTGGATTACTCTCCGAATATGACGCGGGCCACAGATAACGAAGCGACGGGCCACATGTGGCCCGCGGGCCTGGTTTTGGACCACCCTGACCTAATGTATGGAGCAGTTAGTGCTTTATTACTTACACTCAATACTGATAGAACCATTGATCCTATATCCCTACAAGCCTTATGTTCGAATAAAAACTCATTCTAAGCAATTTATTGAAGGTGCCTTTTATGTTCTGTCAAATACAATGAATATATGCTGATAGCCTTCCTATTGGCATTATAGGTCAGACGATAGAGATTATATTATTTAGCCAAAGGTTTTTTAAACTGGGTTACAGGTTACAAGAATCTGTTTTGATATTTCACCGGCCCGCAAACTAAAAAAGGTTGAAATGGTCAAATGGATATTCGTTTGCAACGCTCAACCAAAAGGATGCAATGAAATAATGATTGAAATCAATCAATAAAGATCGATTAGACTCTTTTCATAACGTCGCGGACCGCAGTGCAGTCATCCTGGGGGTCCGCAGGCCCCCGTTTGGGAAACCCTGGCATTGATCTACTCAGCACTGATATAAAGTGCAAAAAACATTTTTTAAATTCTAAATTGTTCTATCACAAATATAAAGTATAATCAAACACGAAGCGTAATTTACGCAAATAATTTTAAATCAAAGTAAAAACATCAAGGTTGAAGATTGATTTGAAAATAGTAAAAGTGTAGCAAATCAGCACCAACATGTATAGTATGTATGAATCCATCAGATCAAATAAAAGATTGAAATATTAGAAATTGGAAATCAAATAACAGGCAGTATGAAATATTCTACCTAATATAGACTAGAAAAAGGAGCCTACAAAATTAAGCGCTCCAGAAGTGTGTGTACCAATATGGAGGTAACTAATTTTGTTCATCTATTTTACATTAGGTTATGTAGAGAGACTGAAACCTATGGTCAAGCGTATATTTAGTTGGCTAACACAGACAGTCCCGGAACTAGTAATTGAACTAAAACAAGGGAAATCGGAATAAAATTATGTCCTAACCCTAACCTGATACACACACTACGAGAATACCCACTATTTCAATAAAAAGTACACCGAAAAATATACGTTTTTCTTTTATTCTCAACATGGCTTTTCCCATTTTCTTCGTTCTGGGTTAAAGCCTAAAAGCGCTACTGTTCGATAAAGCCATCACATAGAACAGCAATTACCTAACCGGGGGCTCGTGGCCCCCTAAGTGGGCCACACAGTAGTGGGAGGGGGGTCACAACTGAGTTTCCTTTTTTCTTTACCAAAAAACTACCCGTTATTCCTAGTTTTGTTGCTTGACAAGGTTATTTCACAGTTTTTTTTTCAATTCGTTGAACATGAACTGCTATGCCCTAATGGGATTCAATACGTGGATTTTTCGTAAAAATTAAATCAAAACACATTTAAACGAATGCTATGCAGTTGCAGTCTTCAAAATAAGTCTATTTGTTAAGATATAACAACGCTTGTATTATGCATAATCTCTAAGTTTCCTACGCTTGCTGTTCTTCTTACGCTGTTCTTAACAGCATTACGAAAATTGTCTTCACACACTCGACTTGTTGCCTGTAAAATAGTGAAAGTAAAATAAGATTAAAAAAAAAAAAAAAAATTGGGATTAAATGGAAGCTATGGAATTGGGATAATGCCATACTGTGGCGCAGCCATGGGGGGGTATGTCATAATGTCAACAGATTGACGTGGTATTTTAGAATAGTATATTGATTGACAATTGAATATTTTACGTGACAGAAAATTCCGTATACGCTAAAAAAGTTGGCCCTTTCAACGAACGCGTATTCGTGGTGACTGTTTCAGAATAGAATGGGAATTTCCGATTTTGAAAATGTAAATGAAAACAGAAAGTTTACAATAAGTATTTCATACAAATTTTCAGCAAATTCTAATCCGGGTTTCTCAATATGAAACAAAGGGCTCGACATATTAGATAAGATGAAATATGGTTTACATATTTTTATATTTATATTTATGTTTATTTTTACACATGTCGAAAATACACATTGTACACACAGAATAAAAATAAATACGTTTCAGTGTGAAGGGACAGACGGCTTGATCATATGGCCTCTCGTCCTTTTAGTACGCTTTCCAAGTTTGGAATTTTGACTTCAAACTCCAAAACAAATTTTCGCCACCGCACCTCTGATTACACTGCGTTGGTTCGCAGGTTCAAATCCCATGCGGGAATAGGTATGTGCGAGAGGATTGCTGGACTCTTTACCGCCATAAGGTGCTACACGTAACCGCTGGTCAGTTACGGCTTTCTCCACCATCAAGTCTAGACTGCCGAAAACAAATTACTGGTTTCTAATTCCATACCCGACATGGACTGGTAACCGGACGAGAGGCCGTGGTTTGCCATATGAATAAGCTGTCTTATCGTATTTTCTCTACCCCGGGCTGAACATGTAAATCCTATCCTATCCTTGAGTGCTGAGAATTGAAAAGCCATCGGCCCATTGGTTAGGCCACATAGGAAAGCGACTTGCAAACACCAAAAAGTCGCCCCAACAACAACAAGAAAACTAACAACAATAAAGTTGTACTCACTTCAAGTTTTAACGCTCGATCTTTACTCAATTGTTCTACCGGGAAGACAAGATTATTTTCGTCAGCGAGAACTCGTAGATCAAAATAATATTTTGCATAAACTCCGCTTGGTACGTTTATGTTAAATTGTAGAAATTCAAGAAATTGTCGTTCCAATTCGTTCCTGTGAAATGGAAATTAAATTAATTCAGAGCTTGGATAGTAAAATAGGACATTTCGTAAAAAACAGGAATAGTCATAAAACGGTGAATTTATTCCACCTGATACATTCTGAAACAATATTCATGAATAAATATGGGAAATTGAATATAATATATTTGTATACATCAGTCGTTCCCAATCTTTCATAGTTTGTGGCTCCCTCCAGGGCGCTTTTAGCACTCGTGATCCTGTTTATCATTCCAGAGGTATTTCAGACATTGGATACGTTAGTTAGCAGCTACCAATCATTTTAAATTTCGGGTAAGATAGTAGGAATGGTATACCACCGCTATACCACCGCTTGGTGATAAAGGTGATAAAAAAATGATATTGGGCGCAATACTACCACCTAGTTTATCAGTTCAACATAACAATTTTATTGACTGTTGTAATTTTGCCACAGAATATACCTCTGTTCATGGTACAGTGTGTCCATGAATCCCTTTACAATTTCAATTTTGTTATGATGTCATTTCTTAATATATCTTAACCAGGTTTGTTGTTTTTTAATCAGTAATTGTTCAAGTATTTTCACTTCATTTATTACATCTGTGAGGGCCAAAACAATATATGGTATCGATAAATTCCCTTTGCAAGTTTAAAAAATTTTAAGACTTTATTTTTAAAGAACTGGGAGCTTTTCGGTTTTTGAGTGTTAACAATTTTCCAAATTTATTTAAATTTTAAATCAACCAATGAGATCTCTGCAAAAACAGGCAAAATAGTTTCAATATTTCAGTATAGTTTATCACAGATAACCATGCTAAACATAAATAGCTTGCCTTAATATAGCGATACATTAAAGCTTACGCGGCCTTGAATCTATAAAGATATTAAAAGCTTAAATTAGAATCAGACCTGGGTAGCAATGCATTAATAATTCATACGGAAAGCACACAATACCTTTAGTAAAGGGCAATTCTCCTTATATAACAATGGTTGCCAAAATTTTGCTTTACTTAGTTTAATCTCAATAAGTTAGACCAGCAGTTTTCAACTGCAGTTTTTCGTACAAAAGAACCAAATTTTGTTACTGAAAGACATAGCCAGGGATGTCTAAAATTAACCAAATATTTTGATATATTCTGAAATACCCATATTCAATATTTTAGAAATAAAGTAGATTTGAGCAATAGAGGACACACAGTCAAGATGTCCCAAATTAATAAGATATTTGAATACTTTAGAAATTCATTCTATTCATTAAAATCAATTTTTGAATTGAGGAATAATTTTATCTAAAAATCAAGAACATTTTTATTTAAATATTTGAAAAGAAAGAACCAATCAAACATACAAGCAGATCAAAACATAAAAGAAAACCAATGACATTTGTGTTTGTGTCGTTTTGATCACGAAAATAATATAGTGATTTAGGTAATTTTTCACATCACATGAACTTGCCCCTAATTTAGAATGCATTCGAAAATCCATATCCGGAAATATTTTCTCAGAGTCAGAATGTTGTAATATAGTGACCTTTGACCCGAGCCTATTCATGTTTGAAGGTGACTTTTTAAGTTCTGTGTACTTAATATCTGTACGAATTTACAGATATACAAGTGTGCATATATCGCTGTGTTTCTGCTTGGAATGTGTTATTTTTTAAATGTGTATAAAGCCTGTAATACCAATATAGTTGCGCGTGCTGTCACATCACCTTACAAACGTATTTGGAATAGCCAAATATTCGGTTTCGGCAATCCCTGCTCTTAGTATAACTAAAAAAGACTCCTTCACATTCTGAAAACTTTAAAATAAGAAGAGCTAAATAAATCACTGTTCATCTCGAACATCTTTTCCGTATTAATTACAACAAATTAAACAACTGTATAACCTCGCACATATGCAGAGTTTAAAACTCAAAAAAAAGTTACCAGCTTATAAGCGCGTAACTCTGATCGCACTAAAAAATTGGCTCTGGAATTTGAAAGATTTTGAGGCAGTTCTTACCGCGATTAAAAAAAGTAAAACATAACAAAAATGGCTATCATTTTCATTAATTCTCTCCTTCAACCATTTGCTGTGATAGGTGCGTACAGCGTGTTACGATTTGTAAGGCCGGCTTATATGCAAATTTTTTATAAATTCACCATTTTAAAGTTGTTTCAGGGAGTCGGCTTATGTGTAGCGATATAGGGTAATTAAAAACTACACAATACTTACATATCTTCCACTGTAATATCCTTCAATATTTGACAATAGTCAACATTCCAAACCGCCTGATCGTCCCAAACTTTTGACGCCAAAAGTATAGCACCTAAACAAAATATATTGCTCGATTAAAATAAGAGTATACTTAATTACTACTCCTTTATGAAGTCTGACTTTGGTCTGAAGAATTTAATAAACAAAACATGAAAATAAAGCATTTGAAGAACTGAAAAAATTTGAATTATTTTGTTTTCTATAAATTTAACTACTTTTGCAATAGAAACATCCTTATGCCAAATTTTAGAATACGGCATATTTTTTTTTAAAAAGATTCACATTACAACATTTGTAATTAAAATTACAGTCCTGCACGGTTTCGTACCGACAACTTCTGGTGGCAATGACGCAACAATTTTTTCATTTGTCATTCCTAACCCACACCTGACTACGTCATTATAAACTTATTTCATCGCGAAGTCACAGTAAAGTCCAAAACATGCAGACGATTAACCGAAGTCAAGCAAGCTATTTCTTCCCTTTTCTCTTGTTGTAACAATGCCAATATGAGAGAGATTGCTGGCATTACTGAATTCAATATTGTCGTTGCAGATGCCATTTCGATAACTATAGTTTGGCAAGCCATATGGCGTGTTTGTGGCGCTGTAGTGCAGGGCCACTCAACTGGCGGACCGAGGTCCGAATCCGGCCCGTTCGGGTATTCGATTCGGACCGCGCCTGATTCTTTATTTTGGATCATTAGCCCACCTTTTGAAGTTTCCTTTTATAAAATCACCTTTATAGATTTAAATATATATAAATGAAAATAACTCTAACGCCATAATAAACAATCTTGATTAGCGAATAAATATAATTTATATATATAATTTAAATATATATAATTTCTGGAAAGACCGGACCCAAATATTTTTAAAGTTTTGTATGCGGATCTTCGATAAAAATAGTTGAGTAGCCCTGCTGAATAATTTTTGAAAGATGTAGTCAAGGATGGGGTTAAGAATAACATATGCAAACGACACTAGAACCCAAAATTATAAGCAAGAGCAAATTTTATAATATAGAATACAAAATTATTCAAAAATTGAATATTTAAATTCGAGACGTATCTTATTCTGAGAAGACAAACATAATCTTATAGAATATTGATTTCGATTGTTCTTTACACTTCCAAAATAAGCTTCGTCATATTAAAGTGGCAGTAAATCAATGTAACAAATAAAACATGGAATAATCACATTCAATACCTGGAAAAAATGATCACAGGTCGGCTCGTGCAACGTATTTACCCCCGCAAGCACTGATTCTCAAACAGGTTGGGGGCGCCACCACAAGGGGGGGGGGGGGGGGGGGCAAGCGGGGGGCATTGACAATTTTTTGAAGGGCCTAAAGCTTGGTAAAATAAAAATATTTGTTATCTTCGATCTCGCCTGTTCTATTTTGGATATTTGTATTTCTTTATTTTGGATATTTATGTTCGTTCATCCACATATTTTACCATGTTTTTTGAATAAAACATACTTTCGCCTTGCTATCTGTTATTTGTAGCTTATTGTGAGCTAGTCATTTTTGAGGTGTGGCGCAAGACTTCACGAATTTTAAAAAGGGGCGCGGCTCAAAATGTTTGAAAACCACTGCATTAAAGTCTAAGTTGAGAACGCCTACAGTTCGCTGTATGAAAAATTGCCTTTATTTAAAAAAGATTCGTTATTCAAGAGCATACTCTAACCCTAACCCTATAAACCTGATACTGATAAATAATCATACATACCCAGCACTATTCTCTTCCAGTTTGCAGGACAGAGCACAATTTCAGCGTAAGCTAATAATCTTTCAAGATAAACCTAGAAAAAAACATGAACAGTCAATTCTAACAAATCAATATAGTATATCATTAGACAACCTTTTCGAAATACATCGCACATGTGACAAAGCCAGGCGATTTTTTTGGAATAACCCGGAAAATGGAAATAGTCACTAATAGCGTTTAACAGGGTCATTTGTGTTAATATTTCGATTGACATGACGACTGTTTCAACAGCCATTACTGGAAATTCCAAATTCCGATTTTGTAACTCTCCTTTTAAAATCCTGGCTGTGACCCTAAATCGCACAATCAATATCAACAATAATAAATTGAAATTTAGTGTATTGAAATGAGGAAAGTATTGAATTATGAGCACTCCCGTAGTGTGTGTACCAGGTTAGGGTTAGGCCATAATTTTATTCCTATTTTCCTTATTTTAGTTCAATTACGAGTTCGGGGACTGTATGTGTTAGCCAATTGAATATACCCCCTGCCTATAGATTTCAGTCCCTTTACACAACTTGACGAAAAGTAGGCGAATAAAATTAGTTACCTCCATATTTGTACACACACTTCTGGAGCGCCAAATTAGGTTTGACACTATAGGCGAGGTCATTCTCTCATTTAAATTATTACTTGTGAATGACAAATTGCTACCTTCACCATGAAGCTATAATTAGACAAAAAGCATTAAGTCATTATCCAACAATTAAAATCATTTATACAGCTGAATTATTCCAGTGCAAAAGTAACACATACACAACAGGTAAGGAGCATACAATATAGCATTCGTATATTTTTTATTATGCTTATTCATGCCTTTTGCTCAGAACGAGACTCTGTTTAAAGCAACGCTCAACCAAAAAGATGCATAAAAAAAGGGGCGCACCAGAAGTGTGTGTACCAATATGGAGGTAACTAATTTTGTTCGCCTACTCTACAGAAAGTTGTGTATAGAGACTGAAACCTACGGGCAGGGGGATATTCACTTGGCTAACAGAGACAATCCCGCCCTCGTAATAGAACTAAAATAAGGAAAATAGGAATAAAATTAAGGCCTAGCCCTAACCTGGTACACATACTTCGAGAGTACCAAAAAGAGACGGCTTTTTGATTGGAATCAATCATTTGAGATCAATAAGACTCTTTTCATATCGCTGCGAACCTCCTCTGCAGTCATCACGGAAACCCAGGAATCCCGGGGACCCCAGTTCAGGAAACCCTGCCTTATGCAAATAAAAACTAGTACAAATATTAAGCATATGACTGAAATTGGAAAAGTGAAAAAGGAAAAAATACTCACCAATGTTACAATGGCGCATTCTGCTGTCAGCTGTGCCGCACTGAACAAAGTTCTTATGAATCTGTAAATATGTCGATGATCCGGTTCTCTCTTATCATAATCAGAAGGCACTCGCTCCCGCTATGAAATAAATTTAAACTTAAATATTGTAGAGCAAAATAATCAATGTATAGGGCCAGGCATGGACAGATGTCGCATCGCTGTGTGACTCTATAATCTGACCAAGCTTGGTACAGTGAGACGAGTAAAACATTTTTTCATTTCAACTCGGAGTCTTACTTTTATATGAACGGGCTTATCTGGATAAACCAGGCCATTTCCTCGCACTTGAACATATCCTTGTGCAGTGTTCACTATTAGCGCACTTTTTTGCGAAAATTGCGAAGCACTTTCGCAACTTTTTTTAGGGACTGCGAAATAGCACTTTTTTCCGATTTTGAAGAGAAATAGCACTTTTTTCTGATTTCGAATGGAATAAAAATTCAAATTTAACAAATACTTTCGAGTATTAAGTTGACAAATAAGTAACATACTAGTACTTTGTAACTCAATTCTGCATATCATAGCGATATTTACCGAAATTCTAACCATTGAGATGCAGACATAGAGATAAAGCTTTTGCATTAACGGCAAAATTCTTGTTTATAATATGATTATTATACAAGCACACCGATTCCGCTTCTCCCGCAAAAAACGCTCCCGGTGATTGAAACCAGATGTTGGAATAATACGCAGTGCGTTTCTTTGAACGAGAGTGGTCATGTGACTATCAATGATATCGATGAATTCAAAATGACTATAAAAGTGTTACATGTTATGGTCACTTTGGATGAATTGTGACCAAACTGCACAATTTTCAAATCAGACGAAACATTTAGCAGCATGTCACAGATTTGCAAAATCACCAAATTCACAAAATACCATTAAGTGCCATTTTATTGTAATCACAATGTTGAAAGGACGTGGCATTTTCCGTAATTTTGCGATATTTACACAACTATTTCTCATTGATATGCGAGGTTGGGTGGGCAAAATTCAATATTTTTTTGAATCGAATATTTTCAAGAAGTACCGAATAAACGTGGTGGAAACATTAAAAAATCGGCAACAAAGCCTTTTTACTGGTTAATTCCGTTGTAATCGCTAATTGTTCTTGTCACCGATCGTTTTGGCGGCGATATCCAGGTTTTGGGTAATCTATATTCCCGCCCTCTCTTTTTTACAAATATGAATTCTTGTGGGTCGGCAGACATCGAAGTTTTATATTTCGGGTTTACCCGTTCGTTCACATCGGCAACAGCTGTTGAAGACATTGAGGACTCAAATTAACATTTGCGTTGGCTTTAATATTACCTATCAAGATTTGTAAATTTACCGTCCTAATTTTATGCGAATGGTAATATTATTGTCCATAACGTCATGCAGATATTTATTAAGACGATAATTAACTTTCTCATGTATTTCTATGGTGATAAACTTCGCAAGTCTGAAATTGTGCCAATCCTGAATATTGATTTGAAATAGTGATTGAATAATTCGGCAATAAAGGCATTTCTGCGTGGTCATAAGACGAGAGAGATGACGTTAATGAACAGCACTTCTTTTACAGGATATTTTACGAATGCGACTTAATGCTAAAAAGATTGGGCTGGAGTGCTTTTTTTTTTTTGAGTGCTCGAGTGCCTAATAGAGGTCAGGCGCTAATTGTAACTAATTCCCTCAAGTTTCAACGTGTTTTCAATAAAACAATACCCCGGCGATAATTATAGCTATAATGTTACCGAGCAATTCACAATTTTATTTATGGAATTTGCAAATTCACCAGTTTCTTGACGATTTTGATATTGTCACGCCCTAATTATTAGTGCAAAAAATACTCCCCTTCTTCCGCGGCGGTTTGACGGGTTCTTTGTTCCATTCTTCAGGAAGTTCTGACACGGGGGAGATAGAATACTGAATCCGGAGGGTTGAATCCCTGTCCACTTACTGGTGATTTTCCGTTTTGAAATGCGTGAAACATTCTCTATTTTAAATTAAATGACGTTTCGCGGGCTAGAGTTCTCCCCGTTCCAGTGTTCCAGACGTTAGTTAGACGATAGATGAAACATTAGATTAATAATTTTCGTGACGCCCCGTTTTCGAAAATACAAAGTTATATCGCAAAAAATGCGTTATGATACATTTGGAATGAAACATTATTTACGGTTAATTCAGATCATATTTTACTCTTCATTCAAAATACAGTTGTATCTCGAAAAATGTGTTTTGTTACATTTAAAATAAAACCTTTTTGCGATTAATTTAGATCAAATTTTACCTTTCACGGCAACCTGTTTCCGAAAATACAAAGTTATATCACAAAAAATGCGTTTTGTTACATTTATTTTGCATTCCCAATAAAATACATATTTTCCCTAATTAAGGTCAGCGATGAATCTGTTCCTGTCGTTCAAGCTCGACACACGTTTGGACGAGTGTGGGGCGGTTTTTTGGTCGACGATAAATTAAAAAGTTGCCACACGTTATTTGTATAACGATAATAACTGAAAATTAAGATTTTATAATAGAAGTGAATTTGTCTCAAGATGGTATTTTACGATTCCTGCCCACAGAAAATAAACACGCTGACAGGCTTGGTTATAATTGATATTCGTTTAATTTATTTTACACTATCAATAAACGCGCCACACCAATTGCGACCATATAAATTGCAGTCGCATCGGTATGGACTGTATGTTTTTGGCGCTCTCACATTAATAATAATTTTCAACAAAACAATACCCCGACGGTCAATAAAGCTGAATTCGTTACCGAATAATTCACAATTTTATTTACGAAATTTGCAATTTCAAGATCTCACTTGACGATTTTGATGATGTCATGCCCTAATTATTACTGCTTAAATGCCTCAAAATACAACAAATGTAATCATTTTCGACGATAACAGGCGCAACAATTCGTAAACGAGCCGTTATAACGAAACTCGCGATTGATTTTACCCCTCTCTTGTTTACAATTTTAACATCCCGCCGGCCATGTATGGTCGAATAAAATGTTCACATATTCGAAACATGACTTGGCCACGGATGGAAGGGATCACTAAAGAGCTAATAGAAAGTACATACGCGAGGGTATGATATTAATATCGAGAATATTTGTGAGCATATCACAGGACGGAAATATTTTGCACCCGGCTGTTTGTTGGCAGAACAACGATACGCTAAGTTATTTGATCGAATACAGGGAAGTATTTATTTATCATATACTTGCGAACATCGAGGTTTTGGCGAAATTGTACAATAAATTCTTAAATAATAACTTTTTCAATAAATGTTCATTTTTCTTTTGCGTCTTTATTATATGTCGGATTTTCATTTATTTTAAATTCGAAATTGTCCGAAATACTCCAACAGGTGTATAAGTACAATAATAATAGTACTTACCAGGGAAGTTTAATAAACACGATGTGTAAAGGGCTTCGTAACTCCCGTTTATTATAAATTTTTTTACATTCTGCTTAAAAAACAATGCACGTAACTCTCGCGACCAAATCTTTTTGTTTTGTATGGCATCGTCTTGGCGACGAATTTATTGCCGACTGAATTTTAATTGTGTTTTAGGATAAGTTATTTTCTGTTTGTTGGTTTCTAAACTCCACAAACTTGGGTAGCAATTACTATTAATGTGAGATTTGTGCATATAAACGATTGAATATCGCGACTGGATGTCCGATATCTGAGAATGCGTAATTCTCTTTCAACATTAATTTTCAGGATATCAGCGGTCATGTGGTCGAATAAAAATTATTTATCAAATGGATTGGTATTTCGAGACACTCTCAAAATTATTTGGGATCCACTATCATATCATTCGTTTATTTTTTATATTCATGTTTTTCTCAAGAATCACCCTCGTTATATTTAGTGTACCTTCGCAAAAGAAAACTCTTTGGTGTCATCGTTCCTATTAGTGTAATTGAAATATATGGAAACCTCGCAAGTGGCGTTGTGATGCGAATATTTGATACTAGGTCAGCAGCATTACAAAGAGTGCTATTTATGAATGTTGAAAGTACATGACATTACTAAACATTTTGCCAATATATGATGTTTTCTTCCCATTTAAACTAACTCGCACGCAAACCAAGGCATGTCGACATATAAAAATTACTTGTCTTTGGGTAAGCTCTGAAATAGTATAATATAAATGTAAATGAGAAATTTGAAAGTTGAAAGAAATCGAAAAGTTAAATTTCCAGCGCACCTAACCCTAATTAGTTGATTGCTATTTATATTTGGGGAGGGGGGGGATTTATTTTGCACGGGATTTGTACAAACGATCCACCCTGTAACTAATATGGTTTCCAGCCTGCCTCGTGTCTGTTAGATGGAAGGAGTAACAAATGTGAAGTCTTTGCTGTTTACGCGAGTAAGCAACTGACACCGTGATACATTGCATGAAAGTTTTGTCGGGGCAGGTGTTAGCAGATGTCATTTCGTTGCCGATGAATTCGCTTGTTTTGATTAAACACGAATTCGCTTAAAGGGAACTCGGAAAAGGCTTCTCTTTAATTCATAATATTAACCGGAGGAGCGCTTTTTCGAGTATCTATGCCGTTTTAAATGGGTTATATGGAAGGCTAGGGCACCTAACTTGTTAAAATCGGCAAAAGCACTTTCGCACTTTTTTTTTCGACTGCGAAGCACTTTCGCACTCATAATTTGCTTAGAGTTAACACTGTCCTTGTGTATATAAGCTTTGTTATATGAAGTATTTAAATCGACTTCTTATCTTATTAATATTTACTGTATTCATATTATGTCGCTGCTCAATAACCAATATTGGTTTTTCGCATCTCACTTCATCTCACTGGGTGTCCAGTAATAAATTAAGTAAAAAATCTTCGATGTGCTTTGTACAATTCATTCAATGCATATAAATGTGTATAACAGTGGCTCCCCCAACTTATTATGGCTCGCAGGCCCCTTCCTGATGCTTTCAGCACTCATGGCCCCCTCATGGCCCCATGTTATAATTCCAGTGGTATTTATAGTGTTATTTTGATTGGTAGATTCCAAATCCCATTATGTTCAAATATTCCACGCTCAACAAAGTGAAAACACTCTGTGAAATAACCTTATTAGGAAATGGAAACTAGAAAGAATGTGGAGTCATTTCTAGAAAGAAATGAAACTCTGAAGAACGAAGAGTTTTCTTGTGAGGAGAAAAGTGAAATCGGTTTCGCCCTGCATTGTGAGGCCCCGCGAACTGCCCTGTAGCCCCCTTGATTGGCAACGGCCCATGGTTGGGAATCGCTGATGTATTCAATGAAATACACACTTAAATACGGCAAACACTAATTAACATAAAACAAACGTTGTTATCATAAAAAAGGATTCTATACCCACCGTAAGTGGGTGTTTCTTTTCGTCAAAAACTTCCATCGTTCGTTTATCGTTTTCCCGATGTTTTATGCAATAATAAACAGCAAGTGCAACACTGAAAAGAATTAATAAAGTAGTAAATAGGTTGCCAGAAAGATGAGGGCGTAATTGCCTAGCAGTTAAAGCGCTCTAAGACGAAGCACTTCAGAAATACATTTATGCTAGTGTGCAGCAAGACTCTTGAATCAAATAGGCCTGCATAATTAGACATGACAAGCTAGCTCATTACTTGGATTTGCATAAAAACATAAATTCCAAAATAGCTCATGCGTGCACACAATAAGCTACTGGTCTAAATAGGTTTAATATTCTAGTATGTAAAAATACAATAATGAATTACTAATTTAAGGTTTTTCTTAATCCTAGTTAATACAATTATGTAATACAAGCAGAGAAGATTATAAGTCACCAGGGATTTACATAACAAATTAAATAATCAACCGACTTAGAATTAATATTTTTGATGCTACCTCTTTCGATAATTTCCTTTTTTTGACCATCTTGGAACTATTTATTCCTCTCCTACATTATGCATAAAAAAAATTTATGCTTGCTACTACTAGTAAGCCTATGTTAAATTAAGGTGCAGCCCAAGGTTTCACCCATTTATTTAGTGATGATATGTTTCTAAACGCCGACCAAACATAATGTGTGCGGGAGGCCCACAGAATTTTGCGTTTTTTACTCCTAGAAAAGCGTTTTTTTAAACTGTCGCCGGCCTCAATAAAACTTATAATATTGTTTACGGTTTTATTTTCAGTATTTTAAAATGCCGCTTTCAATCAAAACAACTGCGTTGTCTTCAGAAATTCGCCGCCGATGAACGTATTCACCGGGTTCACAATTCCGTGCGATTAAAATAAAACCATTGTCATCGTTATCGTAAAACAAATTTGTGGAAAATTTGCGTTTTAGAGAAAATACCATAAACGTAAAGGCGTTTACGGCCTAAATAATATGTCACACTGATGAAAGCAATCGCGAGAACGTTTCTATCGAGAATGTTTTCAGTCAACTGAAACATCTTGAAAACGGCGTCGAAATGTGTGACGTCACACAAATATCCGATATTCTTATGAACGTAAATTCCGATATTCGAATACTTCATTCGAATTTGCCATCCCTGTATCTGACCCACTTGTATTGAAGGTTGCACACCCCTGCTTTGATGTATTCTTAGCTAGTAATATGCACATATGCTTTTGCGCAGTTTAGACTTTAATGTGCCAATAAATATGTATTACAGTAATACTTATCAATAACTAAAGTATTTTTGTGAAACTAAACCAAATACAAAGAAATATTTTATTCATAAAAACGAATTCCTTCCATGAAATCCTGATAATGATACTACTAATGATGATAATTCGACAAAGGGCCTTCCGGAAAAAAATATGTACGGTATGTGCAGTAGTTGTTAATTAAGTGGGTAAATGACATTTAATAAACTTTTCAAAGCTTAAAAGTTAAAAAGTTTTGCCACTATATTCCAAGTGACACTACAGGACAATTCCAGAAATTTTGCATGTTGTTGGATGCAATATATTTTTACATTTTCAGCTACATGTTTTGTTTCATTGTCCAATCAGTTGCTTTATTGAATATGTAAAAAATTGCACAAAAGTTACACCCAAGACTTACTTGGTAAATAAAAAAAATATAGTAAAATATAGTGTGACACTACAGGACGGCAAATCCACCATGCACTAAGAGTACGTTGTGTTGTGCTGTAAATTTATGCGATGGTACAGTAGGAGCCCATAATATTTTCTGGGGCAGTAGCTGAACTACCCCTCTATGTGTTGCTCAAGTTACTTAATGTAACCCCTTAAATCCATGCCAATAATGTGCATGTTGTATGTGACACTACAGGACGTGACACTACAGGACATTTTCACACTTCGGAATAGCGGCCTCCATCATTTCCTAAAATTCTGGTAATGAATCGTTAAATCAGTGAAGAAATGTCTTCTGCACTGCAAACATTTAAACTTTATTAACTTAAATCCAGTGCTTCAATTCCAAATGAAATAACTGTACCACACAATCAAACACTTTGTGTCAGGAATCATCACAAAGTATGTGAATTATACCAAAATTTCTACATTTCAGGCCATTTTTCATAAACCATCAAAAACCTGGCTGAAATTTTAAATTGCTCGATGAAATGAATGCAGCCCAATAAAATTCCAATGTCTTTTGATATCAAAAATAAAAAAAAATACTTTCACTACACTTTTTAAAAAATTGATGGAATTTTGCTTGGAATGGCCCATATGTCCTGTGAGAATTTATTGCAAAAAGGACCTAAAAAAGGCCCTTTTTAAGTCTAATTGCCATTAGGACTAAAGTCCTCGATAAAACGTGAGACGAGTCCAACTAAAGTTAAACCAATGACCCGAGCTTCCTCAAGAATGGTATGAGTCGTCGAATCTTTGGAACGAATTTTGGAGGGAGCTGACTCTGATGACCACACGGTCATATCGCTCAACTTAGTCTACACCAGTGGTTCTAAAAGGTGAAGCGTGCGCCACAAGGGGGTGGTAGACAATTTTTTGAGGAGCCGTGAAGCTAATTAAAATTAAAAATATTTGTTAGATTTGATCTTGCTCGCTTTATTTAATATATTAACATTTTTTTATTTTAGATTTTTACGTTCCATCCACATATTTTCACCGTGATTTTTGACTGTAGCTTAGATTATTTGTAGCTCATTGTTAGCTGGTTATATTTGAATTGGGGCGAGACTAGGCAAATTCTAAAAAGAGGGTTAAAAAGGGGGTTGAAAAGTTTGATAACCACAGCCCAAGTCCATACCGAATAACTTTGCATATGTTGCACAGTTTTGTTCTTATTGAAATGCTCATTTTTCTAGTTGATTAAATAATGAATCAATCTCTTTTTTATAAAATAATCGTGATTCAAAAAAGATTAGGAATGTTTCAGTTCACAGAAATAAGATTCATACATACCATTTAATTGTTGCTTTTATATTCGGCTGACTAACTGTACTGTCGTCAATGTAGATTGTTGAACAAGAACTGAATCTTTTGTGCATTCCATTTTCTGGAGATAACTAAAAATAGGATAAAACATAGACAATATTTAAATCTGGGATGGGAGGTGGGGGCAGGGGGGTTGAGGATCAAATTGGGTGCTCCTGAAGTATGCGAACCAAGATGGCGGACATCGGTAACAGGTTAGGGCTAGGCGATAATTTTTTTTCCAATTTTCCTTATTTTAGTCCTATTATCAGTTCGAAGACTAGCCAAGAGCCTCCCGTGGTATTTATACCTAAAATTATGGCCTAACCCTAACCTAGTACACATATTACATTCCGATGTCCGCCATCTTGGTTCGCATACTTCGGGAGCCTCTCAAATTGTTTAAAATGTAAAAAAAGCATTTTTCTGTATCATACATAGCAAACTGAACTAAAACCAGATTTTGATGTTATTAAGCTAAAAAATAGCTCAAAGAATTCGCCAATATGGGATTAAATTTAGTTTGGCAGGAGGCTTATTGTTTTCCACTTTTACTTATGTAACACTGTAAATAACTTTCGTTCATAAAATGTGACTTTTTATGTCACACTTACATGGCCTGCCAGTCTAGGTGTGCAAAAAGTTTTGCTCACCCCTGCTCTAGGCTCTTGGAACCCTAAGTTTTCCGGCCGGATTGGAAATTAGAAATCTCAGACTCAGACCCCCCTTTGAAAATTTCTGCTATGCTTCTGATTTGAACAGTTAATTAAAGCAGCTGAGGAGGTATTTTTTGTATCATCAACTTCTAGAAAGCCTATGTTAAAATTAGGTGATATTGCCCAATGGTTTCACCCAGTTATCTGTATCTGGCCCTTCTGTACTAGTTTAGTTCCAAAATATCATGAAAAACCATTATTAATACAATTTTAAAAAAGCACACTCACTGAATTATGATGACTTCTCCTTTTCTCTGCAACTGAAACAAATAAAAAATCGAAAAAAAATTGAGAATTATTCAAGGCAGATAGATGGTTTGGTACAACAAAACAAACAAAAAAGTGCCAAAACAAAGAGTGGAACATCTACAAATGATCAAACATGGAACGATTCAAAATCATTCTTCTAGACAGCACAAAAGAGACAGACTCAACCCACCCTCTCTAATATTTCCGTATTTTTCAGTATTTTATTTCTAACTAACTATTGATCTTTACCATTTGCAGGAATTGCAGCCATATTTTGTTTTATCTGAAGAAATTAGACTATGATCTAACGAAAGCTCATATAAAAACTTACTATTTCATAGAAATATATTATGTTATTATTATCAATATTTCATGCTTAATCAGTTTTATTTCTTTAATTTTTTTTGTCTGTTAAAATCATATTATGCTCGTTTGATTAGAAGCTAACCCAATGGCTAGGTCTTCTTTCCAATAAAGTATATTCAGTGGCAATAAAAATAGCAATCTTTCAAATATTCCATATTCAATGTTCGGATTGAATATGACAAATCATAAATGATAACAATTCGATTTTGGCCATCCTCATGATAGGATTTACACACGTATCTTGGGGAGAGGAAAATTCATATTACGGCTTAATCTTATATCGAACCACGGCATTTCGTCCGGTTGCCAGGCCATGTCTGGTTTGGGAGCCAGTTATTTGTTTTCAGAGCATGAACTTGGTCCTTATCAAAAGGATTCAAATAAATTTTAAATAATAATAATTTAAATGAGTTACCATCAGTCCTAGACTTCAAAATAAATATAGTTTCAGCTTGAGGGTGATCTGAAGGTGGTTCATCATATATATCTGTAGTAAGAGAATAAGACATGGAATTATTCATTTGCCCACGAATATATAACATTATAGTATATGTACTAAACTGCCTAGACCAGCGGTTCTCAAACTTTTGGTGTTATGAAGCCTGGAATTATATGTGGAAACCTACATAATGTCATATTTGATTACAGCCTTTTTGCGACATTTCAAAGCAATCATTGTCAAATTAATGCTTTTTGGACAGTTGCAAAATTAGCCAAGTCATTATTTTATTCAATAAGCGAATAGCTCGCGGAATCCCTGTACTACTCTCATAGAGCCCTGGGGCTCTGTATGGAGCACTTTGAGAACCTATGACATAGGATTTGCCTATTGCCTCCCTTTGCCTATTTTCAAACTCTTTATTCCTTCCTCCCTATGCATAAAACTACTTTATGTATTCAAACTATAATAATAGAACCTTAGCCAGTGTTGTGCACTCTCGTTTTTGTGCAGATTAAGTAGTTGATAATGTACGCATGTACATACTGAAAACAAACACACAAAGTAGGGTTCTCTAATTCCAAGATGTCCCGAGATTTGGTTCAATAAAGCACTCATTGAGTCTATTTGGAACGAGTGCGTCTAGCAAGGCGACAGACTGCGCCATGCTTATCTTAATAATAATCCTCAATCTGTAAACTCTAGAATAGAGCTCGACCGATATATCGGACCGATATTGCGTGTTTGCCGATATATCATATCGGCCGTAACCCGCCGATATATATCGGCCATACTCGGCCAGCGCCAGGCTGCATGCTGCAACCGCTCTCGCCCCTGCGTAACTGGTTTCCCAATATTTCTCTCGCTTCCATTTTGCGTTACAAAGGTGTCTCTCCTGATTCCCCCGGCAAAAGGCAAATTTAGTAACAGCATTAAATGGTGGTTCTATAAATAGAATCGATTGGAAGCTGGTGAGTTAGTAATCATTGAAACATGGTACAGGTTGCTCAAAGCAATAATGTCAGTTCCGAATTTGTGACCTCCCCAAATTAAATTTAGAATTTCTGGGTTAACAGTTTTGTCTATATTGATGGTTGTTTATCATTTTGCTGAAAATTACAAAATGAAAACTTAATCCATTATTATTGACTAAATAAGGTATTAAGAGTCTCTGGAAACAAAGTTATTAAAAATTTCACATGTAACTGCACATATGCTATCACAATGTCAAAGGAATTTATCATTATCACGATTCACTTTAAAATATATCAATTTATAATTTTTTAATACCCTTAACATATGACCATAGTTATATTTAAAAACTTCAGATTAACAATACTTTTTTCTGGAAATAGCTAGACTGATATTGAAGTAGCAGGAAAAGTTACAGAATAACATTTGTTCGAGCATTAACTGGAGTTAAATAAAAGTCCCACCGCCATGATAATAAATATCAAAATGAAACTACAGACTCAGCGTGGCTCAAAATATGATTTATATTAATATCGGCATAGCGATATCGGTTATCGGCCACCAGTTGGCCGATATATCGATATCGGTATCGGCGTCAAAAAGTGATATCGGTCGAGCTCTACTCTATAATGCTAGGCTAAAAAAAATTTTCCTTTGTTGGTCGGATTATGGTGGTGTTTTCAGATTGTGCTTTTAGTTTGCTTCGAGAAGTTGGTTTGGCGACTTAATTGATATAGAGGCCCAGACGTAAAGGAGAAGTCTGCACTTATGTCTTAATTGAGGTCTTTCTTTCAATGGAGGGCTATTCTGGGAATCGGCGAGCTGTGTCATATTGACACACTGAAATATGCTACAGATCTTACCATCAAGTTGTTCTCTTTCACTGATATGAGGAAGAATTGAATTTGATTGTTCTTCCGGTTCAATTCCCCCTGGTCCATTTCTCCCTGCAGTAAATCCTTTAGAACCTCGTTTTGTACCTTCATGAGCTTTAGGCAACTTTGGACTCGCAGAAGAAATACAACTGCATGGTTTATTCCCCATCCTTATTCAAATTTTTCAGTATCCGTTTGTTTGATTTAATTGTTCACCGACTCGCATTGTCGGCCTGAGTTTTATGCAGCAGAATAAACCAAAATATTTTGCCAGTACAGCAGTACAGTATTATACTGTTTAATGTAATGAGCCCCGAAACACCTATTTCGAAACAATTTTATTAAAACCTGTCTTATCTTCGTATCTGTTGATGAAGAATCTGTTTTTTATTTTTAGATAATATACAAGATAATATTAGTACATAATATTAGTCAATATATATTGGGGACTAGTACAATTTAGCACCACAAGTACTTCCGGTTGGCGTAGCTTAACGATTTTGTGTATCTTATTCCTAACCCTCACCTGACCATGTCATTCAAAAATTACGTCACAATCCCGTCATAGAGTTTGCCAAGTATAGCTACTATCATCCGAAATGACATCTGCGCCCGACGATGCTCTCTCTCATATCGGGATCGTTTCGACGAGAGAAATAGCTTGCTCGATTTCGAGTGATCGTCTGCGCGTTTTTGACGACCATCCGTACACTTTATAAGTACTTATGGGTCACGTGTAGTTTCGTACCTAACATACTTCTAGTGGGCGTAGCATGACAATTTTTTCACCTAGTCTATCAATCCTAACCCCCACCTGACTACAACATGCAAAAATTATGTCATTACGACGTAATACAGCCCTTCAAACTATACGAACTGCCATCCAAGACGCGCAAACGAGCACCCGAAATCGAACAGTTATTTCTCTCGTTTTCTCGTCGCAATGATTCCAATAGGAGAGATATCGATAATGTCAGTCAGTTCTTTATCCAGTTATTGTAAGCGCCGATGGCATTTCGGGCGGTCGTACGTATATATTTGGCAAGCTCTATGACGTAATTGCTGAATTGTGATGTCGTAGTGACGTAATTTTAGGATGGCGTAGTCAGATCTGCAGATGGGGGTTAGGATTGACATATCAAAAAATTGTTATGCTACGCCCACTAGAAATATGTTGGGTACGAAACTACACGAGACCCGTACCGGTATACTTATTACGCCACTGTGGCGTCGTAGTGACGGTACCGTAGCCTATCGGTAATTTTTTGGTGACATGCAGGTACTGCAGTACTGGTAGTCAGGTGACCAAGGTTACTCTAGCCCACAATTACATGGTGATCAGAGGATTAATCATGCATATATTTACAGCGATTACTAGATTTTAAGCAAGTTTAATCTAATGAATTTAGCTACCTACGGGACAAATAACATGTTCTTTTACGTCAAAACCAATCCCCACGATCAAATGTACCGACCGCTAAACAGAAATGTCGGCTGGCATAACCAGAATTGTGGGCTAGAGTAACCCTGCGCTACAACAAAATGCCACTGTATCCACATTTCCTTATTATATTCCCGATAATAAAGTTTTGAACAAGACTTTGCATTACAAAAATACCGGAACTGAACGAAATCCTCTAAAACTCGAAAATAAAATTGTGGGCTAGAGCAACAAGGGCCGGCAACCAACTTGCCTAAAGTTAAACAAGTTCATGGGCGCCATCTTGTGCCATATTTGGGGAACGAGGTGTTGTTGTACCGATGTTATAAGGGCTAGAATGAAGTCGAAGGGTGGATTTTGAACTTTAAGCTATATGCTTCCTAAATATATAACGATATTAAGCATAAAAACTATCTAATGCGTTAAATTTGACCACAAACACAACGTAGAACCATTTTTGGTCATTTTTTCGAAGATTTTATAGCGTTACGCCAATTTGACGCTGTAAAATGTCTCCGCAACAATCCTACAATGTCATTTGTTCTTCTAGTACAGCTTGGAGCTGAGCAGTAGGGCATTAATGAGCTTGACGGACAAAAATTGTTAACCAGTAAATAGAAACGGCCATTGAAGCGAAGTTGAGTCGGCTTGTAATTTCGACGAATGAATACAACTTTTCATCTGTGATGTCATAAGGAATGCCATTGTCACTTACTATAGAAGCAACTTGGAACCGGTATACTTATTTTCAAGGACAATTTAATGTACTATAAATGTAATTTGGCAAACATGGAAGAATATCAACGTGTTAGGCTAAGATTCTCCTTCAAAACGCGACCTTCAAAATTTTTCTACCTAAAATATTAGTGAAAATAATAGGTATGTTTCAATAATTGTGTGCGAATTTCACATAAGACGCCGTTTTAGATGGCCGAGAACAATAGGCATAAGATGGCGTCCATTGTCGGAGCGTTGCCCCGCTTGTATTATATATAATATATACGCTTTGGGCTAGAGCAGGCCTGCACAACTCAAATTACCACGAGGGCCGCAAGCATAAATCTGAAGGCCCGGCGGGCCGCAAACTTTGCCACATACATATTTCACAAGATGAACTACAAATCAAAATAATATTTTGAAACAGTTAAATCTACAAAAACACTTTCATTACTGGGGAGCTTAAAATATGAAGAATCTTTTTTTTTTTCTTGAGTAAAAACAAGGTACAATATTTTTGCATATGAGATGGAAAATATGTATTTAGTGGTTCATCTACCTTGAAAACCCACCCTTCATTTTCAATATTTCTTTTTCATCAGAATTAGGTATTGCGTGTTGCAGTATAAACTGACTGCAGGAAAATATTTTACTCAGGTTCAGTTTTGTAAAATCGCCCCAAATATATATTTATGACAATTTATTTAGTCATATCTACCAATATTGGATATTTCCATTGTAGGCTAGACAAACAATCCGTTTAGTAGCAATAGATCTTCCTCTGTTGTACTTTTTTGACTGTTAAATTACATTTTTCTACAAAATCTGCTTCAATTTATTAGAAATTTTACAGTAAATAGCAAAATCTTTTGTGAGAGAATTTCTGCATCATTCATAAATGAAGGAATTGTTTTTTAAGTTCTAAATTTGATTAAAAAAAAACTTCAGTTTCGTAAACTGCTGGTAAAAAATAATGGGGTTATTAATAGGTTGCTAATATGCACTAATGGGTGTGAGATTGTATACCGATATTGTTTTAAGCGTGACAGTCTGAATACTGATATATCTAAATCAGGGTTTCCCAAACTGGGGGGCGAGGGGTCGAGCGACGAATTTTAGGGGTCGCGAAGGACACACCAATTTCACACAAAGTTCGATATTTATTGAAACTAGTGCAAAACCTAAATTTCACGATTTCGATTATGATCGGAGTAGCGGCGCGCTTGCATAACAATGCCGGATTTGATTGTTATACTCGAGAAGTGGCATATTTTTCAAATCACCCGCGGGCCACACAGAAGTATCTAGCGGGCCGCATGCGGCCTGGGCTAGAGTAACATTTTGCACCAACAGAAGACATGAGGATCCGCAAAATATACGTAAACACTAGATGTCGATAGATACCAAGAGCAAAAACTTGGATTTCCGACGGAAATTGACAATGATAACTATTTTTAAAACTGTACATTGCTATTAGGTGAATGAAAAAGATTATGGGAACAAGTACAATATAGAAGAAATAGAGAGAATATGTGATTGAACAAATTTCAAATAAAATGTGAAGTCAGTAGAAATCATATTAAACATCAATATAACACGAAATATGGGTATGAGATTTTTAGTGTCAAAAGTTTAACTCAAGCTAACCTATTATACAAACCTGATCAACGAGAGAAGTGATATTTGTCGAACAGAAATCACGATAAATTAAATTTGATAATAATAATAAATATTGAAGCAAAAGTAATGAAACGAGAAGAACTTATCTTCCGTATTAACTGGAGAGAGCGATACGACCATGTCGTCATTAAAGTCAGCTCCCACCAAATTACTATACTGTATTACTTACTATTTAAATTAGCACGTTATGTGATATTGACATTGCAAGAAGATTCCGATCTTACAATGAATAGTTCAAATTGATGTACTGCAATAGTATGCCAGAAGAATTATAGGGTAAAAACCTTTTGAAAATACTGTAAGTTTGTAAATTTGGTACATTACGCTAGTACTACAATGTACTGGGTCACTCTAGAGTGCTCTTTCATTATTTAGTGCTTTAATACAAATGGTACTGCATAAGATCATTACACTATTTTTCTAATGTGACATGGTAACAATATATGTATCATTTTTCTGTATTGCACAGATTTCTGTATAAGATTTTTTATGCTGGTAATCTAGTATTCTATATTTTTCCTATTTTAATAATTTTTTTCCATGTTTTTTTTTATGTTGTTCATCTGAAATTAGTTCTCATTTTGTAACCTTTACGACAAAGAGGGAAATCCAGAACCGAATAATTTACAATTCTGAACAAACACCTTGAAGTCTGTCATCGAATCTGGAATATTCTATATTGAGTCATATTAAACCATTGTAATTCATATAATTAACACAAAATAGGAAAAATAAATGAATGGTGGAAATTTTCACCACAGATATCAGAAATTGAATGGTAGCCTGTTTTTTTATCAATCTTATGTACGGTGAGTTAAAAACACTAGAAACCCTGCTAGATTAAATACTCAGAACGGTAATTTTTAAATATTTTTACTACAACCGGCTTTTTTGCATATGTTATTTCTAACCCCCATCTGACAACGTCATTCAAAAAATGACGTCACTATGACGTCACAATCAGGTTATAGAGCTTGCTAAATTATAGCGACGTATATTTTAGATAACATAGCCGGGTGGGGGTTAGGAATGACATATGCAAAAAAATTTGCGCCAAGCCTACTGTAAGTTATTGTGGTAAGAAACTACATAAAACCCCAATAATTGTCACATATTTCCACCAAGACATTAGAAGGTTTGTTTCATTTTTATTACCTGAAAATTGCAGTCAACTTACCGTCCATAAAGCGTTTGTTAACTACATTTATATGTGCCAATATTGTGGAATTATTATTGTTCCTTTTGATAGAATTGTTCTGTTGTATTGAAGCAAATTACTACAATATTTTATGTCCCGAAGAGTGCACTTCAAGGTGCTTCTGTAGTATGCGAACCAAGATATCGTAGTATGTGTACCAGGTTAGGGTTAGGCCATAATGTGGCGTCAAAGCGTTTTCATCCTGTGACAAGGCTTTCAAAAATCTAACCTTTAACCTGAAACCAAATTTTTAAATCAATGGCCGTTTGATACAGATATAGGTTACTACAAAACAAAATTTTGGAAGCCTGGTTAATTTCAATACATAATTTGAAAGTCTGTCGAAACTAAAATATTATTTACTTTCTGTTAGATATTGAAACTTTGGCTATTTTTGCGCTATGATTTTTACTGTTTGGAAAAAAAGGTCAAAACAGTCCCAATTTCGTCAGTGCGCTTACTTTTTTGTCATATTTTGTGTACATTTGGATTTTACGGGTCTGTAAAAATAAACTTGGCTTAGAGGGTATGCAACAGGCGGCCTGTGGGCTACAACCCAGGCCCGGAAGTGTGGCCCTTGTGAGAAGTCAGTTTTTTTTATACATGGACATGCCTGATGTAAGCGTTGGTCGCTTACGGGCTAACTAATATCATACCCGACATGGACTGGTACCCGGACGAGAGGCCGTGGTCCGCCATATGATTAAGTAATCTTATCGGCTACTACTACATTTAGTTAGTTATTTTTTTAGTTTCCCTGCTTGCCAACTATGACCCGTCATAGACTTCTCGAGTTTGTTTTCTCGAAACTCAATCTATTTACCAGTATCAAATTTCATGTGAGAATTTCCGGCCGACAACAAACTTACCAAGCGATGTGAAACGATCGGTAGTTTTGAAACAGTTGTTTGGTATGCAATTTCGCAGCCGTTCCCAAAGTATTTGTTGGTGCGGCGCCACATTTACTCGAAAACAAACGCACGACGCACTTACACGAAAAAAATGCTGCTTTTAAACTTTTAAATGAAACTCAATTTTGTGATCGTTGATGTGTAGGATTTTATGCCTTTTAAAGTTTGTAAACATGTAGGTATTAGAAAAAAGAAAACCGCTGGTGTGTCGAGTATTCGTTATAAGCTTTGTTTGACTTTGAATGCGCAAAATAAATGCAGGGATTGAAACAAGAACAGGCAAAGCTGAATTGTTAAATTAAGTTTTGGTTCATAATGTATTATTTGTCAGCTGGTAGACAGCAGTCGAAGTTGTCGTGAAAAGCAACTCAGCATTAATGTATTGCAATATATCAGTGGTTCTCAAAGTTGATTAGACCGAAGTTGATTGACCAAAATTAAAAGTGGAAAAATATTCTCGGACCGGGAGAGGGAAGTGCCCGCAAGAGGCCAAACACATGAAGTGGCGGGCCATATTAAACCGTTACGCGGGCCGTAATTGACCCGTTGGCTGCGGTTCGGGAACCACTGTAATATACGATATATATGTGTCTTTATATCGTGATATGTCTGAGTGTAAACTGAGCAGAGTTAAATAAAATATATGCCATAAATAGGAATAAATATATGATACTGTCGCACTATCGCAACAGTTTTACTTTCTTTAATATTATACGCTACTTGCCCATGGTTCGCGGCCCAAAACTGAACGCCTGAAAATTTTCTTGGCTTGCCTGCTTTTTTCAACAAAAATTACGAATTTTATAGTAGATTTTATTGTTTATTTTATTTGGTATTGAAGTGTTGCTCGATAGTAATTGCATGTGTGTCACTGCGGAAAAACTTAGCAGCATTTATTTTGCTCAAGTAAAGCCACGCGTCGATTTTAAAAACTCGCTGATGATAAAACACGCACTTTTCTCACTTTAAAATAATTTCTTGGGAAATAAATGTTACATAAAATTGATTGTTTGATATTATTCATTTTATTTTGCACCCAACAGTACTACATGTAAGATAGTATTTTAGTTTATCTTTGGGTCGTGAGATTTTACAAAATCTATTTTTTTTTAATTTAAGTCGCTTGAAAAAAGATTGGGAACCACTCTTTTATATGACTTTTAAATATTCAACAGATTGGTTGTGAAATACTTTTTCAAGAATGTATAAATACCGAAAAAAAAATTTGTAACTCATTTTAATATTAGTGATCACATTAAAAGATTTGTTCAAGGTTTAAAATTGTTTCATTTGTTTCAATTCTGCTTTTTTCTTAACTTTCAAATTCATCGCCGAACAAACTCCACTATTTCATAACCTATCCAACTAACGACAGTTAGAGTGGTGGCGTAGATCAGGGCTTACCGAACTGGGGGTCGCGACCCCACAGGCAGGCGCGCGACGAATTTATTGTACTTTTTTAGGCTTTCAATTCGAAACATAATTATTAAAACTAGTGCAAAACATGAATCTCACAATTTCGAGAGAATACATAGGATCATAGAAGCGGCGCGCTTGCATAACAACAGGGGTCGCGGAAAATTGAAAGGGGTCGCGAGCACCAAAAGTTTGGGAAGCTCTGATCTAGATAATTTATTAAAAAAAACCTTGATATTATACTTGCTTAATCTTATTCGATCAATGATAAGAAAGGACCGTAGACAAAAATCCATTGAGGGGATATTACGGTCATGAAATATTCTACTTTCGCGCGAAGCATGGTGCATGCCAGTAACCAGGATTTGATAAGTTTAGATTTGAAAATTGAATTCGTGTTAAAATTGCTTATTCGCGCATACTTTATGTTACGAATGATACTAACTTGGAAATGCAGAGATTTATATACTTTGTTGAATTTTTAAACATTATGACGACACAAATCTTTGTTTTTACAGATTCTCTCGTTTTAAATAATCATCAACTATGACATCACCAATAGTCACTTTAGTGCTATTTCTCTCACTTTCCATACTCACGAACGGAAGGAGACAAGATAGAATTTGTTTACAATTAGACAGTGAAAATTGGTATGTAGCAAATTTTGCAAAGTAATATTTTGGTATTTTTACGATAATCTTGTAATTATCAGATGTAGCAGTGACTCATTGATAACAATATCAACCTCTTGTTTTGAAGTCTATATTGTTCAGTCTCAATGGATGTTTCTTGTTTATTGTCGTAACAATGACCAATCAGCAATAAGCCTACGATAACGTAACAATAGCAATTCATGGAGTCGCTCAGACACTTCTTTCGCTCGGACAAATATTCAAGCATGATTGTAAATACGGCGGTTTTAGCGGTTTTGCGTGTTATCCGTCAGTTTTTATTTATGCTTTTAAAAAATAGTCCTGATTCAAATAACTCGATTGTCATTAGGTCTTCCGATGACCTTTAGTTTAATTGCAATAATTAAAAACTGATACCGCAAACGCTGTGATAGACCAGTCTAAAATTAGCCATCCTGTAATCGGCACGTGGTTTAATGTTTAGAAGAAAAATGATAATTTTGAACATGTGAGCCAGTTTGTAAGCGCTAACTCTCCAAAACACTCTCAAAATGGGCGTTTACAATGTTGCAATGGGATGGGGATAATTTTTCAGGGGTCAAGGGTCGGGTAAACGTCCACAATAAGAAATGCTGAAAGATTCCGGTTCTAAATATTCTACCTATGAGCGAAACAACGCCTTGTGCTGAACAACTTTATGAAAATAAATAACGACTAATATATACATTTATTTTTAGTGCTGAAGTACAAATCCTTCCGGGCAAAAAAGGCCCGAGAGGGGACAAGGGATTTCCTGGGCTCAAGGGAACACAAGGAGAAGTTGATTATAATGAACTTGGAGCCTTGATCGATAGAAAAGTCGAAAGAGGTGAAATCTACAAGATTGTTTCATTTGCTATTGTAGATCTATATGCAGAGCTGTCTGGTGAAATCCACAGTTTTCGGTTTCGGCCCTCTTTTGGGCGCTTCCCTATCCCGGCCAGCGAATACCCCCCACGTCCAATTTTGTTCAATCAACATTGGTAACCACTAATCTAAAATCTTTCTTTGATAATAGATTCCTTGCTACCTACATATAGGTACCGTTCACTTGCGTGGCATTTCAGTTGCCTCCACCAACATTATTTCTTTGACCGTATTTTGTGATTTTTTCTAAACATAGAACACGAATGTATGTGATTTCATTGTTAGTAGACAGTTGTTCTGATTTCATAACGTTTTTGTTTAGCAATGGAAAAGCAACGGGCAGAAATGAACGAAACAATGAATGAATTTCTGGAAAGAATAGAGAAATTAGAAGGGCAAGAAAGCACAAACACCTTTGCAGTTGCCACATCTGCTCCATCCGTTTCACCGAATCTTTCTCCGCCTCCTGGATTTACTGAACAAGGTTTGTTGCATTAGACTAGTGATTCCCAAGTCGCGGGCCAATTACGGCACGCGTAACGATTTTAAATGTCCCGCCGAAGTTGAGTGAAATAGTTAAACTTTATGTTTTTACCTTTTTGCGTTTGAGATACCGATACCGCAGTTTAATTAAGCACGTGTATATTCGATATATTCGTGTATATATTTCAATTTTACCGGTATCTTAATTAATTGAATTGTTACGATTATACACATGCCTAAACTGTGATAATGACGTAACAATTGGGTGTATCTATAACGTAAAACGGTAGAAACATAAAGTGTTAAACGCTGCCAACAACAACGCCCCACAAGGAAGGCGTAGACAATTTTTTGAGGGGGCTTGAAGCTAATTAAAAATAAAAATATTTGTTAGATTTGATTTTATGCGAAATTGGGTTTTCCACCCTGGTACACGGGAAGACAAAAGCGCAGAACCAGCTTAACTGTGAAAGCGATTTACGATGTGCATTATCCATCACAAAACCTGGAATTAAACATCTTGTCAGCCGCAAACAACTGTACTAATAAAAATCACAGCAATTTTTGCTTGTTTTTAAAACTTTTCTGCTACGCACAGAGATAAAGAGGCTTCCGATGCGTGTGACGTAATTACGTAATTACGCTTCGTGAGAATAAGACGCTCGATCGGCGTCGTAACGTAACGTTTCAACGTCGCGGCGAGAATGCATTATTTGAAACTTCCATCGTCCTATGTTTACATCGTTCAATTTCTTCGTTACGTTAAATCAGTATCAGAAGACTTTAGTCATTTTAATCAGGAAATAACAAACTCAAATATGTCTGATGCAAACCGTTTTACTCTACAATGAAATATTTTTTTTTGTTAGTGTATTGTAAATCTTTGAAATATTAATATTCTCGACGGATAGCTTTGTTGATGTTATGCTGTTATCTTTATTAGTGATAAATTTATATCGAACACACGGCGAACACAATTGTAAGTCTAATCTTCAACTTAATCTTGTTAATTAACATTGAGATAGGTCCCGGGATTTTTGTTAGAAATTAAATTGATTTTTCACTTCGAGTGAATAAAATTCACCCAGGTTGAATTCAATAACTGTCATTTCGACTTCAAGGCATAAAATAGTTGTTAAGTCAGTATACAGTGCCATATGAACTTGGAATTTTTCTCGTTTTCATATATTCGGTTTTTGGCGTCGTCGATTAAGTAAGACATATATTTTCATTAATGTGATTTTGGCATATATTCACACATGGACAGAATAAAATACAAAAATATCACACTCGAAAGCCGTCTTTATCTAAACGGAAATTGTCAATTTGGCGCCATTGTGTCGGGCGTCAAAATTCATTTCCGCGACGCAGTGTGACGTCGTCTCGGAAGTGAGCGAAAATGATCTACGTGAGGTTGACGTAACTTGTGATGCAGCGTGAAATCTCAATATTTTTACGGAATTTATAATTCAGAATTTTAGGTTTTATTTCAATCTCGTATGACATCTTGCGATTAATCTGATAAATTTTATACATTGTTGCCCTCTACCGGATGATGGTATTTTGCCGATGATAGCTTAAGTAGGAGCGACGCTCTGCGATGCGCATTCACGCGGGGTAATCAGAGCGGTGGCGAGCGTACCGGTATTCCTAACGCTTAGCACGATGCGCCACACCGCCGAGCCTGAAGAAAATATAACGAAAAATGGAGAGCATTAACATTCAATATGCAGATGTATGATGACACACTTCGATCAAATATTATAATTTAACAATGGATAATTATTTGAATTACAGATATTGTGCGCTATGACGGAAGAATATTCATACCGTTGGCATCTAGAAAGGTTCGTAAAGCATCAGCGATCGCCAAATGTCAACGAGCAGGCGGGAAATTAGCTAATATATACAACCAAAATCATATGGATAAGATAATGGCATTTATTCGTGACAACAAGTTGGACGGGGTTTCATATAAAGACTTTCATCTCGGCATGACATTCGACCCTCTTGTAAGTTGAATATAAAAAGCTTTATCAGTATTTCTCCTAACTGCACATATCGTTCAAATTTATTGTTCAAAATTTAAAAAAAGTAAGTTGTGATGTCATAATATTATAAAGTTTGCCATTATTATGTGTACTTTTGTGTACTGCACCTTCGCTCCAGATAAGACTCCGCCTAAGAGGAAATGAAACGTAGGGAGATTGATAGATCCAGATTGAGTGTCTGTTTCAGACATTCTGTTTCATTTATTTACTTATGATTGAGATACACTTGATGTGAATGAAAACGCTAGGAAAAAAAACATGAAATGGCATATCACGGTGAACAGGACGCAGAAAAAACAATGTTGGTAAACGAACAGCGACACCCGTGATTAAAGTCTAATATTGATACAGATTGAATAGAAAGAAGTCGAACAATATATATAATTAAAAATAATAATGTCCAAGAATTAAATACATTACAAAAAACTCCGGGCACCGGGAAGTACCGATAACTTCTACCTGCCATAACTTTTTAATATAATCAAATTGTTCTAATAATTAAACATCTAATATGGTCTCACTTCTTTTTTTAGAATCAGATTCTTCGTTTCCGAGACGGAACTGTGACATCACACATGGGTTTCAAATGGCTCTTAGGGACTCCAACCAATAGGCAGGGTTATTATTCTACTTTCACAAACATGGTTATCAAGATTCAGAATGATTCAACAAGCCCATATCAATACATTTACAACTACCCAGATCGTAAAGAGTACGTCATTTGTGAAATTTAAACTTCCATCCACCTGTTGCAGCAAACTTTCAGATGAAAAATTAAGATGGAGAAACTCGTTACGTGCAAATACTACGTATATCCTCAGCTTTTTATTTTATTTTTTTTTGGGGGGGGGGGGGTGTGTGTTTCCAAATTGAGGTCCTCCCGCCGACCCTACCAATTGTAATACACCATACGCACCTATCACAGAAAATAGTTGCAGGAAAAAATTAATGAAAATGATAACCATTATTGTTATGTTTTACTTTTATTAATAACGGTAAGAAGTGTCTTAAAATCCTTCAAATTCGTCTTCGTATAAGCCGACCCATTGGTTTGGCAACTTTTTTATTTTTCAACTTTTTATTGCCTCTACCTTAAGTTACGAAGTGAATAGAATTTACATAGAATTTACATATTTATACCGAGGGAGAGGAAAGCCGATAACACGGCTTATATGGCAAACCACGGCCTCTCGTCCGGTTACCAGTCCATGCCGGTATGGAATTAGTTAGCCAGTTACTTGTTTTCAAGTGCATGGACTTAATGGTTGCGTGAACCCCCCTTTGGCAGCAAAGAGTCCAGCAATTCTCTCGCACATCCCCCACAGGATTCTAACTGCGAACCTACGCAGGGTAATCAGAGGTGCCGTGGCGATCGTATTCCTAATGCTTAGCACGATGCGCCACATCACCGATATGGAAAAATAAAACCGTTGATTTAGCAACCATGTTCATTTATAAATCTACTGAGGACAATAATCCCCGCTGGATTTACAGCTTGATTACTTATTATTCTATTTCTTAGATGTGCTCAACAAATTTCATTAATTTTACCTTTTTGTTCATATTATGTCATAAATACAGGGTGTCCATAAAGTCCCTTCACAATTTCAATTTGTTATGAAGTCTGTTATCAATATATCTTAACCAGATTTGTTGTTTTTTAATCAGTAATTGTTGAAGTATTTTCTTCATTTAATACATCTGTGAGGACCAAAACTATATATGGTATCGATGAATTTCCTTTGCCATTAAAAAAAATTTTAAAGACTTCATGGACACCCCATATTATTGAATTGCTTTCAGCTGTTTTTGTTTGTTTATTCAAATATTCGTTTTATGTCAAAATAATTAGAGAAATTGGAAAAAAGTTGGAATTCACTAAAAAAGTGATTCATATTTCACCAAAGATAGTAATGGGGGGGGGGTAGATTTTGGGAGCGGACCAATATTGGTTTGACAGTAATAATTCTAACGGTAATCAGAAGTAATGAGTATCAGTAAAAAGTCTAAAGCAGTGGAAAGTAAAATCAGTTTTGCGACTAGCATTGTGTCCTCCCTCCAACTGCTCTGGGGCACTGCTCTGGGGCGAGGGCCCCCGGTTGAGAACCACTGGTTTAAAGCAACAACAAAAATACAACTCGAGCACCGTCAGGCAAGGTAACCATAGGAACGATATTTTAAAGAGATCACAGAACTAAATACAGTATCGTGTTTCCTTGAAAGTTCTTCAGATAAATTTCAAATTACGTTGTACAGTAAATTGGTTAGGTCACACTAAACTTCTCGCATAGATGAGATGCCCAAAGAGGGACGGTGTCAAACGTGGATATTTTTTAGTCTTATTGTCTGTGTTACCCATGGCCGTGGGTTTGTCATCATACACAAGCTACCCTGCAGAGGCGAGTAATTTCCATTTTGCTTTACAGTATCATATATTAGGTAAGCCAAGGTTTCCCAAACTTTTTGGGCCGCGGATCCCTATTTGTGATTCTTAGTTTTGACGGATCCCCATCCTATGCCGTATCAATTTCTGTGCCTAACCAACGAAGAAGGATAATGTTTCATTTACAAAACAACAACATAAACGACGACATTTATGTGATGGATGAGGTTGCATTTGACTGCACAATTTATCGAATCTTGGAACAATTTGTGACAAGCAAACTCGTAGATCGTACGGTAAGTACGGCAATTATCAACCTGTATTTTGTCATCATATGAGTAAGAGCTGGCTGCCTCATACATGTAGGTCATTGCAGAAGGCAATGAAATTTTAATAGCGTTTCCTGACAGCAATGGATATTAGTTCCCAAAGCTCAACCAAAACGATGCAATGGCTTTTGGATTGAAATCAATCATTAAAGATTGATCAGGTTCTTTTCATATCGTTGCGGACCCACTGTGCAGTCATCATGGACCCACATGGGTCCACGGCCCCAGTTTGGGAAACCCTGGGGTAGGCAATGCAAAACTAGAAAGATTTCATTCCATGAAGAAATATTGTATTGAAAAAAATCATGCTCGTCACCTCACCCAGGTTGTAATATGTATTGAGTTAGTGTTTCCAAATACATTTGGTTCAAACCCCGTGCCCTAATTTCTTAAAATCGAGTGCCTTAAAAAGTCCATGAAAGAAGTGTTACATAAGTAAAGCCCAAAACTACACCAACATAAGCTTATAAGGTATGTTTCAGAAGTTTATTATAGATACAGGAATTGATTAAATATATGTGACCCACTCTCTTCTGTTCGGTGATAAAAATATAAGTTTTGGCCCATTCATTGAAAAAGGTTCGCCATCCCTGCTATAGATATATATGGAAGCAGACATAATCTTGGATAAATAAAAATGATCCTTAAAGTGTAGGTATTTGATCATATTAAACAATATACACTCGTATAATAATATAGATTCGCGGATTTGAATGGAAACTTGCGGAACTCCGAGGCTGCAGCAGAACCCCGGTTGGAAACCGATGTAATAACATCCGATGATTTCTTCAACAATAGGCAAGGCGGACAATGTGACACATTTACTGGCATCCCGGCTACTGGGGCTTTCAAATCGATGTCTCTTTAAACCAGGCTACACCCCAGCGTCTCGGAACCGACTGGGGTACTTGAAATGCATCAATATAAACGAGGGGAATTTATTCTCTCCCTGCTCACAGAAATGCTTCACTGCACCTGGTTCGTAATATTTCAGCTTCGCGGGCAATATTCGGGACGCCCAGACCCCCGACCGTGGTCGTGGAATGAAAAAACGGCTGACCGGTCCGGACTGGTAACCGAAAAACGATTCTCATCAGACAACGGATGCCCACGTCCAGCCGCTCGAAGTCGCGCCGACGAAAATACCTAATCCGTAATTGGAAGAAGAGCTTAGGTAGAACAAACCTCTTCAGCGCCAACAGTTTTTGAAACAGAGTGAGCTCAGAAGCAAAGAGCCTCCGAATGTAAATTAAGATTGGGTTAAAAAACTCACTCCGTCCGACGATCCGGTATCCCATATACTTGCCAAGGTACCTCCTGAAGTCATCCCGGCCGAGAACAGCAACCTCACCGCCGTTGAGATGGAAAGGCTCATTGTCCGCGGCCATCGTGCCTCCAGAACGAACCAATGCAAGAACACAGAACTTGACATTTGGATGGTTTGAATTGCATTCCGGACCATCGCGTAAACTCTTTACATATTAGGTTTAGAACACCTAAAGCAGGGGTTCTCAAGTCTTAACCTGGGGTTCGAGAACCCCCAGGGGTTCACGAGAAGATTTCCAGGAGTACTTAGAAGGCAGTCGAGTTTTTGTGTGTTGCTGTTTTTAATATCCTTTATTACTACCAGAGGAAAATGCGTGCCAATTGAAACGTAGATTTTCACTGATCTTGCGTTATTGTGATTGTGACGCAACAATGTGAAATTCACGGCTTCGCAGGCAAACTGAAATCTGTAAGAAAGCGTGCTGCAAGCATTGGAGAAAGTGATTATGCTTATTGAAACTTGGGGAAGATTTTAGGAATTCATTAGTTGTGCAGACGACAAGGATCAATGCGCATTACGGGGGTTCGCGTCGATTGTTTCGCGACTCAGGGGGTACTTGACAAAAAAAAAGGTCAAGAACCACTGACCTAAAGGAAACGCACCCTCCTGAGGAGATGAAGTCTGACGATCACCCGGCGCAGAAATCAGGCTCTGATGCCGCACGCAGCCACGATATCAACGACTACCTTTCGGAGTCCCTATTGACATAACTGCGCACGGGCCTGGAGGCGCGTTTAGGCGAAAATTCCCTCATTGGAGGTCGGATTTGACCGAAGAGAGGAGGCTTTAAGTCCATAGGAAGGGGAAGAAGTTTTACTCTACGGGGAGGATGTTCTGATGTAGCCAGACTCAATGGGTTTTGTCTGGGCAAACCGGGCGAAGATGAAGAGGGAGCATAAAAGGTGACATTTTTTCTCCCGGTTTAAATTTAGAGTTAGAATAAGTTTTTGAATCCGGGGAAAATAAAGGTGGAGTGATGTTTTTAGGATGTGAGAAATAGAAATTATCGGTTTAGCTAAAGATGAGAAAAGCAGGAGAAATGGGAGGGGAGACAGGAAAAAAAGTTGCGGCAGAAGATAAGGAAATGTTGGATGCAGATTACTCCGGTATGGGAGAAAAAGGAGAACTCGAGGATCGAGCTGAGGGGCACGACTTGGCCGACGAGCACCCTAAAATTGGAACAGGTGACAATCGGAGAGGGGTACGGGGACACCGGTTTAAATGACAAGTCCAATTTTGCGGGGAGGTTGAATTATGCTTCTCGCAACGAGTACAAGAAAAGTTTATTATTCCGGAACGCCGGTGCATAAAGTTTTTAGTAAAAGGGTCGGGGATGCAAATTCTACGGGGATAATTTTACTTTCTACCTTCTACGACCATCCCCCGACCTCAGATCACTCTTCCTTGATAAGGTTATTTCGCAGTGTGTTTTCGCTCTGTTGTGTATGATTTGTTTCATATTAATAGGATTGGGAATCAATCAGTCAAAATACCACTCATCGGAATGATAAACAGGGGACCATGAGTGCTAAAAGCCTCCGGAAGGGGGCCCACTAGTCGAAAAAGGTTGGGAACCACTGCTGTTATCATTTTTAATGATACTTATTACTCCTGATTACCGTTAGACTTGTTACTGTCAAACCAATATTGGTCCGCTTCCAAGTGCTCCTAGCCTCCCATTCACCCAAAATAGCATTTTTACGCCTTTTCATTGTATGTACATAGTGTATTTACATGGTGAGCGTTAATTTGCCTATCCCTGCATTGAACGA